TACAGACATACTCCTTTTTAACTATTAAAAAATAAAACACAAAAAATCTAAGATGTAGAAAGCTCCTCTCCACCTCATTCTACCACCAAAGTACAATCCAGTTTTCCATTCTATTGGACTTCCTTCTGCTCTCTTCTCTTTGCATGAACTATGTATTTTCACATTACTGTAGTTAAACCATGAGCTCAATTGTGTGATCTATTTTTTACTTTAATAAGCATTTTCTTTATTAATATAATCCCCCCAAATGAGCTTTTTTTCAAAATGGACATAGTTTACTTTGTTAAAGTACTCACCACAAAAAAGTCAACTTGAACTGTGACATAAACACTGCAAATGATCATTCACTCATCTGACAGTTATTATCAGGCACGCTGATGTATCAGGGCAGTCCTCAGTAATTACAATTTTTAATGGCAAAATAGTATTCTCTCAAGACATTGTAATTCTCTTAATTATTTGGCTATTTTTGGAAATCTAGGCAGCCAGATTTGTCTCACTCTTTTGCATGCGGCTCTCTGAGCATCTTGGGAGAGAACACTCATGCTGTCCTGAGGAGAGGACCCAGACAACAGTATAGCCTGCCAAGTGGCTCTCCAGAAGGGCTTCTGAATGTGCCAGAAGGGCTCACTCACTGCGGCCTTGCCAGCTTTAGGTATTCCAGTCAAACAAGCTGCCGTAGGTATCTAGGTCAGAAAACATCTTCTTTGCTTTATCTTCAGTTAATTACCATTGAGGGGGAACATTTCTACATGTTTCTAAACTATTTTTTTTAGTAAAATAATACCTGGTCTTAACTTTATTTACTGGGTTTTTCAATGTTTTTCCTGTGTGTTTAAATCAAGGAAACTAATTTATACAAGGGAAATAATGGTATGAAATATTTGCTGCAAAACATTTTAACCTCTTGATTCTTTACCTTTTGATTTTTTTCAACCCATAAGATAAACACTTTTGTGATATTTTACTTGGATTCTAGGCTTACAGAATCTCTTCTTTTTAATTAACATTTTTTATTTTATGTGTATGTGTTTTGTTTACATATGTGTCTGTGCTTATGCCAAAGGAAGCCAAAGATGGTGTCAAATCTCCTAGAACTGGAGTTCCAGATGGTTGCGAGCCTCTAAGTGAGTGCTGGGAACCAAACTCAGGTCCTCTGTAAGAGCAGCAAAGAGCAGCCAGGACTTTTAATCACTAAGCCACCTCTCCAACGCCATTACATGATCTCTTTACAAAATTCTAAGAACTATCAATTCTGGGTTTGTTCTCTCCCTCCTCTTTTGTAGTTATGCTTCTTAAGATGTTTAATTTTTTCCTTTCTTTCTATACTGGGGATTGATGCCAGGGCCTTGGGCATGCTCCCACTGAGCTGCACCCACATTCTTCCTTAATTCTTTTTAAATTTAGTTTTAATTTATTACCAAGACTGGCTTTGAAGTTCCAGTCCTTTTGGCCTCAGCCTTTCCAATAGTTGGAATTATAAGTATGGTAAAATATTTAAGTCTCTAATCCAGGGGTCAGTATCTTCTTTGGTAAAAGTGTCAGATGGTAAATATTTTCCACTTTGCAGAATACATGATCTCTATCCCAGCTACCATGCTCTTTATGAAAGCACAAACATAGACAGAGACCATATAAAAATGAATGGATATGACAATGTGCTAATAAAACTTTATTCACAAGCACAATTTTGCTGGATTTGGTCCTTGAGCTGTAGTTACTGAACCTCGTTTAATCCAAAAGAGATTCCTTTTCAGGACTATGAAGAAAGCAATGTGTCTCCTCAGTCAGGTTGCTAGCCACAGGTCCCCATTTTCTTTATCAAAGCACTTGTTCCCTGGAGAATTTATATGGGATCTTTCATCTTCCTCCCAAAATCCCTCCCCCCATTGACATGCCTGCTGGTGTCAGTGGAGTTCCTGAACTGCAAAATCACAAGCAGAGCTTCCTGACTAAACAGGGAACAAGGAGGGAATCCAGGAAAAGGAGAGATGGAGAAGGCTCTGGGGCCATTGCATTCCCATTGAATTCCCACTGGCCTCTTGGTTTCCCTGAATAAAGAGTATTTGAGAGTGAGCCATCCCATTTTTCCTTTGTTAGTCCCTGAACTATCCCAGAACTCAAAATTACTTGTGCTCTAGTATTATTTTGACATAAACCAGACCTAGGTTATACGTTGAGTTTAGTTCGATACTACTGAACCAAAGTTTGCATGGATGGATGGCCAGGGCCGTGATGGTGGTGGCATGGGACATAACAGAGAAAGGAAGTGTCTGTTGCTCCAAAATAGGCCAGCCCTGCTGAAACCATTTGGTGTTTTCAGAGCACAGTTCTGTTTCCATGGCAGAGTAAGGGTTCTGTGTCATATCTCAGGCCTCAAACTGACTGCCTATGTCTATGGACTTCAGCTGCATTTCTCCCAGAAGAATGTGGGATCAGACACACTACATCTTGGCTTGGAGCCATAGGTCTGGAAGGGATGACTGCGGCCCAGGAATAGCTGGTCCAGGGTCCTCAATTCCTGGGGACTTCCAGGAGGGAGACTGTCACTAGGAATGGTAGCCTAGTGCAGAAAACAAGGAAAGGGGCACACAGACAGAACAGGTCTGTCCTCAGCACTTCTCTCACACCATCTAGTCTCCCTTGTGGTCCATGACTCATTGGCCTCCAGCTCAATGAATACTGGCTGGACATGAGTTTGGAAAAGGCCCTACTTATCCTGGGGGTGGGGGAGCAGAGCAAGAATAGCCGTCACATTCTAGTCTTTGGTCTAGGGAGGAGAGAGGGCTCGCCTGGGGTGGCTGCTTAGGATCCTTGGACTGATGGTCCCTGGGGAGGTCTATTGAGATGTCTGGACATGTGAGTCAGACATGTATGGTCAGAACTCTTGGGCCCCTGTGTTTCCTGCTACCCTTCCAAAGAGGAAGCAGAACCATAGCATCATTGTAGTCACCTTAGGGGACAAGTGGAAGAAACTCTGTGTCTACCTCCCAGAGAGAAGAAGCCTTTTGCAGCCTCACTACCTATCACTGCTTCAAGCTCTCAGCGTCATAGAGCATCTACCCATGAGCATCTACAGGGAAACTTAGAGGAGGGCCTGGCTTGGGCCCCTGATGGCCTCTGTGGCCTGCTGAGGAGTGCACTTGGATTCCTGACTTAGCGCTCATGTGCCCTAATGTAAAGGGACCTCTTCGGGACCTATTCCCTCTCAGGCCACCCCATAGACACTGCATGACTTTGGCCGTGCAAAGCTCAGTGTATGTGATCCTGGTGGCAGCCAGGCCCTGGGTGACCTTCAGGTCCTGCTGTCACAGCCAGTTGGGATTGTTAAAGATGTTGGAGGTGTGCCTAGCAGCCTTTTAGGTGACCCTCCCCCAGCTGCAGTTTCTGAGGTATACTTTCTCAGGACCACCATGGGTCACTGGCCTTTTCTTCCTTTGTTACTGTATTTGCCAATAGGCAGCAGTTGGGACAACTCAGCTGAGGCTGAGTCAGAGAGGTGGCAGCGACTGTTGCTTCCCATCTCTAGTGTTTTCTATCCCCAGTATCCTTGACCTCTTCTAAGAATAGCATGGTCACAGATGTTTCAAAAGAAAGACAGGTAGTTTGGAGACCCCTGTGGCCTCAGAATTCCACGCAGTGACAAGCCCATTTCTTTACAACTCCTTTTCCACATGGGCTTGGTCCTCTGGCTGAGTAAGCTAAGTAACAAAAGGGTCCCAAAGAGACTACTTTATGAGCATTTGGGACCCCTAACCTCCAGCTCCTGACCTTGACCCCAGTGAATTCCTCCTACCCTTGCCTCTGCCTGTTGGCCCAAGGACTTTAACCTGCTTCCAGAAACAACCCTCCTGACACACACATGAGGCTTGTGTCCCCAAGAGGGCGCATGCATGTCCTGGGAGTCTTCTTATCTAGTCCCTGCTTGTCCTGGCCTGTAGCCCCAATGGCTTCCAGCTGTCTATAATTTCCTTAATTACCTGTTTAGGCCTTGGTTATTTCCGATTGTGAGGCTGACTCTGAGACTGGACTGGAACCACAGTAGCCAGCAGAGCTGGGAGACTTGGGTGTCCCTCCTTCCAGCAGGGGGTTTTCTGGATATGATGGGCTGGAGGATTAGAACCTGCTGCCTCCTCGACAGGAGGCTTTCACAGAAGCTAAGCCATGGTGACTTCGGGTCTCCTTGCCCCTCTAGAGAGCACAGGCTTGCCCAGCTGTCTGTGCTTCAGGGCAGGAGGAAAGTGGGGGCCTGCGTGTGGCAGACGCGTGCGGGGGCGGGGCGCGGGCCTGGCTTGGCTCCTGCTGCAATGCAGCTCTCTGCCCGCACAGCTCGCTGTAATTGGATAATTAGTGTCATTATGCTTCCTGCCCATAGGCTTCTCCAGCTCCTGCTCTCTCTCTCTCTCCTTTTTCAGCTTCTGCCTTCTCTGGCAGAAAACAAATGACTGTCCCCTTTCTCCATGTAGAGTCATGACCCCAGTAACTATACTGCATGGCCCCAGCCAGAAGGGAGTTTCTAACTTTCCTTTGTACTCAGGGCCATGCAGCACTGTAAGAACCACTTGTGTGAGCATGTTGACTCATCCCACAAAAAATATTCTAGGGACCCCAGAGCAATGTGGGATCCAAGCAGACCTAGGGATGGCCTCTGGCTTCAGCAGTGGAGCCTGGTCCTGACCTTTGAACTCTGGGATCTGGCTGATGTCAGCTTCGGGATAGGCAGAGATGGAAGGTTTGGGAAATACATGTGAAGAAAAACTAACAGACTGAACAAAGAGCTTTGCCTTGCTTTATTTTCCCTGGGCTAATGGTCAGGAGGAAGCCTCCAGAGCAATGGATCAAGCCCTCTGAAGGGTATGCACTGGGGGCATACCAAACTCAGCAAGGACAAATGAAGTCCTATTTTCAACTAGGCTGTGTGACTGCAGCCAGTGCTTGAGCTTCACAAGGACACTGCCTATCCAGCCACTTTATTAACTCTTTGAATTGGTTCTAATCAGGTGTCCATTGCTTTCTTGGATGTTCTGAGCAGTCACTCAGCAGAAGAGCGATACAGAATCCTCTGAAGACAAATTACTCAAGTTTACATCAGCCTCCACTACTTGTTGGCAATATGACCCCAAGTAAGCACCTCAATCTCTATTCCTTAGATGCCTCTACTCCACAATAGGCATCCCCATCTCTTAACATAGAGCCTCATTGTGCAGGGCAATCATAATCATTTCCACAATGTCTTGGCTTGCATGTAACAGGACTGACCTTTTGTCTCTCTGCTTTGACTAGAACATCTAGGACAGTGTCAAATAACACAGGTAAGAGGGAGTCAGACTACAGATGCTCACGTGCTACACAGGGATCCCATGAAAGTGGAAAGCTTAGAAAGGCTCCTAATTCCCCACATCTAGGCCTGAATTGGGCACATAGTGAAGGTGGGGGCTCTAGTTCTTCCCTCTGCATTTCCAATATCTTCAGGTTATGGGGTTACCCTCTTTTGTGAAGATCAGGAATAATAGCAGCTGTGTGAGCAAAGAAGTCCATTCCTGACTGCACACTTGTGTCCACTGTGATGGCTTCTTAGTCTATAAGGGCTCCTATATGATACACATAGATCCATGTGCAAGATGACACAAGATAAATGTTACCGTCTGACCCTCACACCAGCATTTTAGCTAACAGGCAGAAGAGGAGCAGGGGAGAGTATGTCCCTTCTCTTTTACACCTCAACTCGAACTTTGAAGTTGTCCCTGTCACTTCTGTTTACATTCAATTAGCCAAAGTGTAGTTACATGGTCATATGTAGCTGAAAGGGAGTCAGAAATACAGCCACTGAATTGGACATCAAGACATATAGCTAGCAAAATATTATACAATCTCTTTCAGAACATTCTGGGGGTTCGTTAGCACTTCCCAAAGCTGTTTTGGCATGAGGAGTTGAACTCAGGGCTCATGATGGCTAAGTAAGAGCTCTACTATGGAGCTGTGTCCCCAGATGTCTTAGTTAGGGTTTCTATTGCTGTGAAGAGACACCATGACCACAGAAACTCTTAGAAAAGAAAACATTTGCCGGGCGGTGGTGGCGCACGCCTTTAATCCCAGCACTTGGGAGGCAGAGGCAGGCGGATCTCTGGGAGTTCGAGGCCAGCCTGGTCTACAAGAGCTAGTTCCAGGACAAGCACCAAAGCTACAGCGAAACCCTGTCTCGAAAAACCAAAAAAAAAAAAAAAGAAAAAAAAGAAAAAAAAAGAAAACATTTAATTGGGGTGGCTTACAGTTTCAGATATTTAGTCCATTATCATCATGGTGGGGAGCATGGCAGTGTACAGGCTGGTGTGGTGCTGGAGAAGGAGCTCAGAGTTCTACTCTTGAGACAAAGGCAACATGAAGTGAACTGAGACACTGGGTGTGGGTTGAGCATATATGAGACCTCAAAGCCCATCTGCACAGTGACATACTTCCCCCCAAAGGCCACACCTATCCAACAACACCACACCTCCTAATAGTGCCACTCCCTTTGGAATCCATTTTCAAACCACCACACCAGTCCTTCTTTTATTATTTTTGTTTTGAGACAAAGTCCCACTAAGTTACCCAGACTGACCTTGAGTTTATTCTAAAGCCCAGTCAGACCTTGAACTTTCAGTCCTCCCATTTCAGTCCACTAAATACCTGGAATTACAGGCCTTGACCAACAGGATCTGCTTCCAAAGTCCTATTTTGTATAAAGAATTCACCCATCTTGAGGCCAGATTTTTTCCCCCAAGTGATTAGACCGTCCCTTCTGAGGATGGACTGGGCTTGATGCTCTCAAGGCAGCTCTGCCAGTAGCTCCAAGAATGGGACTACATGCCTGCTCCAACTGTTTCCAAGCAGGAGAGAAATTTGCAGCATGATAGTGAAAGACCACTTGTTTAGAATGCTTGGACCAGTGGGTCTGCCCCTAGCACCAAAAGACAGAAACAAAAGTGGTCCAAGTAGGTGGGCAATAATGGTAGTGGCAGGCAGCAAGTCGCAGGGATGAGGACATAGAAGCTATAAGATATGAGCAGGGCACATGAGGAAGGGTGTTGTAGGAGCTGCGGGCTGCGTTCCTGCCGCCCCAGCTCCTGGTCGCCTGGCTAGCTTATGCCCCGAAATAACAACACACAAATTGTATTCATTTAAACACTGCTTGGCCCATTCGCTCTAGCCTCTTACGGGCTAATTCTCATATTTTGCCTAACCCATTTCTATTAATGTGTGTAGCACCCCAAGGTGCGCTTACCGGGAAGATTCTAGCCTATGTCCATCCTGGGTCAGAGTTTCATCGCATCTGCTCGGGAGAGGGGAGCATGGCCTCTGAGCTCACTTCCTCTTCCTCCCAGCATTCTGTTCTGTTTATTCCGCCTATCTAAATTCTGCCCTATGAGGCCAAGCAGTTTCTTTATTACTTAACCAATGAAACCAACAGATTGATATATGACACTCCCACATCAGAAGGGGCTCTTTAGGTTGACATTTTCCTGACAGGAGTCTCCATACAAGCTCATTTCCACGTGAGTAGAATGGACCACTGATTTGATCTGCCTAGGAGGTGAGACAGTATGACTTAGGATACCACAGGAAACCGCTCAGGCCACCTTGGATACAAATGAGAAACGTGATTGGTTGGACTTATTTCCTTTTGGCATTATGGAACACACACACACACACACACACACCATGAAACAGGACATCACCATTAGAGCCAAAAGACTTGAAATATGCCCCACATCCTCACTGCTGGACTACCATCAGCACCATCAATCTCCAGATCTTGCTCATTATCTCGAGCTTCAGCTCAGCCCCACTAAACACCAGCTCCTCATCCTCCTCCCCAGTCCTCAGCACCCATCATCCTATTGACTACTGCCTGTCTCTGTAAGGCTAGTGACTCTCAGGACCTCCCAGAAATGAAGCCAGACAGTCTCTGTCCTTTTACGTCAACCACATTAGCATGGCATGTGTGGGAATTCCCTGCCTTTTAAAGGTTGACTGATGTTCCATTATATATAAATGGAGGGACACACAGTCTGTTCAGTCATCCATCTATGGACATTGGGCTGCTTCCACCTTTTGTCTATAATGAGTAATGTTTTTGCAAACATGGCTATACAAGTCTCCATGAGTCCCTGCTTTCTACTCTTAAGAGATAAGCTGCTGTAATATGATGGTGAATTTTTTCAGAAACTGCCATGGTGTATTGCATTGTGGTTGTCATATCTATCATTCTGTCCCGAGGCCTCTTTTCACTGGAGAGCTTGGGGCCCTCCCAGAACCTCTGAAAGCAGACAAATATGTAGTCACAAACTTGGCTGGTCATGGGATGCTCTTGAGGGGTGTTAGATGGGGTGGAGGTCCCAAATCCCCCTTTTGGATGGAGTAAACAGTTCTCCAGGTAGGGAGGTCCATTCACTGCTTGCCTGGGCTGCCCTTAGTGAGACTAAAGTGACTGACCATCAGTTTGATACTGACCTACCCACAAGCAAGGGTAAAATTAAGCAATGTCTGGATCCCTACCAACCCCATGATTCTGAATGTGGGCTTTTCTGGGATCCATACACCTTAGCTGGATCCTCAACAGGGACTTCCACTTTTCCTGTGTACATTGGTCTTTCTGCAGAATGAGCAGGGTCTCTATGACTATGCTGACAGTCACCAGTCATCCTCCAGGTGGCCTTGAAAGACTTGCCTGCAAAGGCAGGACTTGAGGCAGGTGGATGAGTGAGCAGGGAGGGAGTACCATGGTGACAGTTGACCCTCTTCTGTTATTATTGTTTTTGCCCAAAGCTGTTCTGGGCTTAGAGCTATTCTGCGGCGGTGGCAGCAATAGCAGAGTATGTACAGATTGTACCAGGAATGGGGGAAGGACGAAATGGAGTAGGGGGTGTGGCTGTCCCTTTAAATCTGTTTTCTCGGTTTTATTTCCTTCTCTTTTCCCACCCTCCTCTCTCCACAAGCAAAAGTGGTGGGACTGTGAGGACTCGGGAGCTGCAGTGACAGTGTCTCTGAAATATTAATGAGGTTGTTCTCAGCCTGGCTTCTTCCCTCCCCTCTCTGGTTGTATGCATGCCTTGTCCTTGGGTGGTCACCAAGGTGCATCAAGCAGAGGGGCGGAGCAGAAGTGGCCAAGAAGACAAGAGCCCTGTGCTGAGAGGGAAGTTGTGGAAAATCAAGGGTTAAAGCACCACCCCAGGGCCCCAAGCCAAGCCTATATCTGCCCCATCATGTTAGAGTGGACAGCCAGCTGCCCTGCAAGATTCTCTCCTCCCAGACCTTCTCCCCACCTGCTCCCTAGCTGGGCCCCAGGCCCCACCCAGTGTGCAAGTGTGGCTGGGATGTCTGACAAAAGGCAGGGGTTAGGCCTCTGTTCCTGCTTCTGGATCTGTTCTCTCCACCACATGGGCAGGCTGGTGTCTTCCAGGTGCCTGAAGATAGAGACAGACCAGGGCCTATTATTTCAAGGAAGCCCAAGTGAGTCACACTGCTGAGTCCTAACCTGGTGAGTCCATAGGGAGATTCTAGTGGGTGGTGAGGGGGCCCAAGGTAGAAGCACATGCCACATCAGCCCAGGCTTCTGCCTGCTGCCCGTCCAGGATGGACTGTTGCCTTAGGTCCTGGACCTGGCTCTAGCACCAGGACATTGGCAAGTCCAGGAGCCATACACTTGGATTTGTGCAAGGGGACTGTTCTTATCTCTCAGGGCCCTGTTCTTATCTCTCAGGGCCCTGTTCTTATCTCTCAGGGCCCAGAAAGTAGGAAACAACTTGGGACTGGGACTTTTTGGCGTAAAACTAGTGCTGGTATCCAGCTGCATCTACCCCAGGAACAATGGCAGCACTTGGTGGCCAGATAGCCCACCACTAGTATGGGTCCTGTGTCCCCACAGACTTGGCTGGTGCTGAGTGAGGGCAGCCTTTGACTGTTTCTAACTTGACAGTGTAATGGATTTTGATGCATTTCTTTTTTTTTTTTTTTTTTTTTTTTTTAGTTCTGACACGGGAAATGGCAGTGGGCTTTGCTCTTTTCCTAGACCTTCTGAACATGAGGCAAAGCAGCTCCACAGAGCAAGTCAACCCAAAGGGGTCCCTCTGAGCCTGCTAGGGAAGCTGCTCAGGGCAGTAACAAGGTGTCCTAACGTGGGCAGCTGAGACTCACCTCCGGCCATCAAGCAAGCGTTTGATACCTGAGGTCTCTGATTCCACCCGAGCGCTAATTCCCCCTGTGTTAAATGGGTATTGCGCACAGTGGGTTGCAGCAAGCCTTGGTGAATATTGTAGGTACTGTTACTGCATGACATTGACAACTCAAAGGTCAATGCTAAGAGTGGTGTCACCAGAGGAAGCCTAGAAGCAGAGGGTCCTTCCCTCAGGACTTGCACCGCTTCCTGAAGGGCAAGGGCTGTCTAGGGTCACAGGAAGCACACTTATATTAAATTGAAGGAGCTGGCAGAGAATCCATTCAAGGTGGTGAGAGAGAGAGGAGAGAGGAAGGAAGGGAGAGAAAGAGGAGATGGAGAGAGAGAGAGAACCAGAAAGGAAGAGCCTTGATATTCTGGTCAAGCAGATTTGAGTCACTAGAAGAATAGGTGCTAGAGGGATGAGACCAGAAGGAATCTGTGTGATGGTCACACAGTGAGGGTGAGCTAAACCAGGGAACCCAATGCAGGTTTCTGCTCTCTCTACTCTATGATGTTGGCCAATTTCTGCCAAGATGGAGCAAATGCCAGAAGGTTCAAGGGCCCCTCTGAGGAGGTTCTCAATTCAATTAAGCCAATTAAGGTCGGAAAGATGAAAGAGCACAGAAATGGTACATTCCCTGTCCTTTTGATGCCTACAGGCCACTCTCGGCAGCCAGCCCAGGCCGGAAATTCTGTCAGGCCTACAGAACTGATAGGCCTGGTCATTTCTGTTCTTGGCCATTTCAGTGATGGTTGCTGTCCTTATTAAAACTGGAAGAGACCATCATCCATGCTTACAGACAAGCCAGGGATGAAGAGAACATATGGCTTCTGCTCTCTGCAGCAGTCAAGAGTCACCCACAGGAGGTCTCCCCTTAACTGGTGCCTTCCGTCTGAACTGTGGCCTGTTGAGTGAATGAAGATGAGGAAAATTTGAGTGCCCACTCCTATTGGCTTCATGCTGCCACCTTCAGAGCTTCAAGCTCCTTCTCTGGGGACCAGGCACCCACTTACTAAATCCTCCAACCCCATCGTCATCTGGGATAGACCACTCTGTGCACTTTGGCAACTCAGTGGTCAACAATGTGTCTCAAAGAATTAAGGATGCAGGTAAAGGCAATTCTGTTTACGGCTGTGCCCAGCCCTGGGAAGTAGGAATGGATAATGGGATCTTGGGCTCAGCAGCAATTACTTATGACTGGAAAACTAACTGGTAGATACATTCTAGAGAACGTTCCACAGTAACTGTAACTAAAGGAAGCCATTGGATGTCAGCAGGTGGTGATGAGAGAAAAGGACGTGTTGTTGAAGCTCGGAGATGGCCTCTGGTAGAGGAGTGATGGCCAGTGTAGGCTGGTGTGAGGTATGGGGAACACGCCAAAGGCAGAGGAAGGGCCGGAAGGTGCTTTGAAGGAATTTGGTCTTCTTGATTGGGGCTGGAGAATGAAAATGTGTGGCAGAAGCAGTCATGGACTACAGGAAGAGTTTCCTAGAGTGGCGGCGCCCAAGCCAGGCAATGAGGATTTTAGGGCAACATGGCCACTAGTTGCTAGCCTATAGGGAGATCCCTCTGCTGGCAAGCAGGGTGTCAGGGTTGCTTAGTGGGAGATGAGGGGACAGGAGCTAGACACAACTGGCAGTCAAGGTGTTGGGGGATACTGAGGTGGTAAGGGCAACTTGACCCCAGGACAGTCACACAGGAGCAGGGGTGCCATGAGCTCCAGAAGTCCCTCTGGCTACAGGGAGGTGACATGGCTTGACCTCTCTACCCAGGACCCTTACTATGAGACACCAAAGGTCCAGCCATCTTCAGGGATGACAGAATTCCAAAATCAGGAGTAGTTCTACGCTGCAGGTCAGGGACAGGGAGGAGGGGGTGGCAAAAATGCTTCAGTTACATTAGGGGAGCCCTGGCCTCCTCCAGGACTCCTAGATCTGGGCGACTGTAGTTGTGACCTACAGATACATGCTCTGAAGAGCATGCAGACATCCCAGCGTTCACTTCACACCCCAGGCCTAAGAGCACCCTTATTTCCAGGTGGGCAAAATGGCTGAAAAGATTAATGGACTTTCAAAGAGTAAAATCCTTCATCTGGCTTCCCTTTCCCAAAGAGTCTCTGTGGAGTCCTTAGGCAACTCAGCTGGGAACTTGCAGGTTCTCAGCTGGAGCCCTGAGGCTTCAAGCCTGGGTGAGTGAATACAGTACTGAGCCCTTGCCTGAGGCGAGTACTGGCCACCCCTCCAAAGGACTGAAAGAGCCTGAGAGCCAATGAGGACCCTTCTGTGATATCACTTGCCAGTACTGGGTACTTAGAGTCCTGTTGATCTGGCCTTTCCTCCAGCTTTGTCTGACTAGGGCCTAAGAAGCTGACTCATGGGGGAGGGGGTTGTGCCGACTAAAGACAGTGTCTACCCTGACAAACTAGACCCATTCATCTTCTCCAGCAGCCTGCAGACTGGGGGGTGGTGGAAGTAGCAGAGGGCAGAAGGCAAATCTGACAGGTACATCCAATTGCTTTTGCACTGGGACTCTGGGGAGCAGTAGAGCTCTGGTCAGAGACAGGAGGGGGGAGAAACACCCTCCTGTAGTCAGGACACCATCCTGAGCCAAGGCCACCTGGGGTAGGGGTTGGGGAAGGCAGATATCAGTGGGAAGCTAACAAGCCTACCTTGAGGCTGCAGTCTCAATTTCCTCTAACTCTGTCGTTTCCCTTAACGAAGCCTTGACTTCTTGCACTGACAATTGAGCGATACTTGTCACCTCCCTCCTAGGTGGTTGGTATGGCAAAGTCACAGAGCGCCAGTGGAAGGAGCACACTCTGCCCAGCTTCCTGTGTGCCCACTGCTTGCCCCTGTCATCCCGAGTCACTGCTTCGGGCTGCTGCTGCTCAACCAAGCAGAAGGGCCACGTCCCTCTCCCTCCCCAGACCTTGCTTAGCTGTTTCTCCTTTCAGTCTTTTTTTCTCTTTGTCCTTCCTAGAGGCCTTCCCTGAAACCCCAGCCGGAACTTTAGTTTAGTTTTGTCAACCTCTAGCCCAAAAAGTCAGTGCCTGCCACAGATACCAAAGAAATATAGAGATCCACCTGCCTCTGCTTCCCAAGTGGCTAGGAGTAAAGGCGTGCGCCACCACACCCAGCCGGATGTTTTCCGAAAGGCAAACCTTAGCTCCTTCATTGGGGTGTGGGAGCAATGCATAGGGAGCAGAGTGTCAGCAGAGTCACTAGTGGCCTGGGGTTGCTCTGAACTTTCTCCTGTGTGCCCTGTCCTGCTCACCTCCACTTTGATTCCCCTTATCCTTACTCTCTTTTATCTATCAATTTCTCTTTACCTCCTTCCCTCCCTCACCCCTTTTTCTGCTCTGCACTGGGCCTCCTCTCCTCCTATCCCCAGGAACCCCGAGGGTTGCGGAAACACCCTGCCCACTCAACCTTGACAAGGAGTGCAGCTGCTCCTTTCCATGTCTCAGTCTATCCCCTGGAGCCCTAGACAGCCCAAGCCTGAGCCACTGAGGACTTCTGGGGACTTAGATCATGGCAGTGGCACTGGGCAAGTGGCACTAGGCAAGAAGTAGGCGGGAGGGTCAAGCAAGAAGTGGTGATGGGCCCTGATCTCTTGTGCATATGAAGCAAGAGTAGCTACCTATGACCCCAAATTGCCTTACTTCAAGTAGGTTTCCAAATGGTTTAGAGAGGCAGTGAGAGCTGGCTGGTGCTGGTGGCAGAAGGGCCCCACTACTCCCTTCTTTCCCACCTAACAAACCCTCTAGCTCTGGATGCTCACGATAGGCAGGACAATGGGGGCTGGTCTAGAGGGTCAATCTAGCATTTGTGAGTCACAGAGTACACTGAATGAAGATGGGGAGAAACGTCCATTTTGTCTGAACCAGTCCCTTGACCTCTTCTTGCCTTGTTCTCCTCAGGTGTTCACATTTAGCCTCTTTCCCACCACCACCTTGCCTCACCTCAGCACTGGGATCTTAGGTGGCCAACTGTCCCTAACTGCGACTGAGTCAAAGCTGCACCTGTGAGAAGGCCTGCCAGACAGGATGGGGGACATGGCAAACAGTTCCATCGAGTTCCACCCCAAACCCCAGCAGCAGCGGGAAATGCCCCATGTGGGTGGCTTTGGGTGCACACTAGCAGAACTACGCAACCTCATGGAACTCCGAGGTGTCGAGGCACTGCAGAAGATTCAGGAAGCCTACGGAGATGTCAGTGGGCTGTGCAGGAGGCTGAAGACCTCGCCTACTGAGGGTAAGTTCATCGGGTTTGGGGAGGGAAAGGGCTATCCTAGGAACTCGGGGTCTGCCGTACGCCTGGAAGACAGTTGGAGCGCTGTGCTGCTCTGACTACCTTAAATGGCTCAAGTTAACCTTGGAGGAAAGCCAGCCACTGACTGTTGCCTTCTGCTCAGTCACTTTGTCTTGACTGGAAGGTGCCTTGTGCAGGGGTACTAAATTCTGAGGGTGTGAGTTGAGCCTCCTCCCACCCCACAAGAAAAAAGAGAAGGAAGGGCAGATGAGAACCGCGAAAGGTGGAGGGTTCAAATGGAAACCCTGGATTCTTTTAAAGAAACAGCAGTGTCGACTGTCTCCTACCGAAGAAGGAGGAAGCCATGGCCTCTGTTAGGGGGAGAGCAACCGAGAAGACACATGAAACTGACCTTTGGTCATAAGCACATATGAGCATAGATGAACACACACATACATAGTGACAGCAGCCGCAGGCTGTCCCAGTGAGGTGCAAGTCTGAGGCACTGCCAGGACCACACCGGTGGGCTTCCAGAGAAGAAACATGGTGAGAGTCCTCTAGAGTATCTAGAGCGGGTACTCTGTGACTGTCCTCTTAGGTTTTCAACTCCCTGGTCTGCTGTGAGACTAGGGTCACCAAAGAGCCAAATCTAGCCCCAGATTTCAAGAGTTGGAACCCTTTTTGGTTCATCTGACACTGGCCTGGCAGGATTGTGGGAGCTTTCCCAACCTGATGCCAGGCCTGCTTCCCAGACACTGCTAATTGATTTTATCAGTCACCCATCTCAGTAGTGGCATTTTGGCCTACCCAGTCCTGCAAGTCCTAGCCACCACCTGGGTTCTTCCGGCTCCCTGGCTCCTCTGTCCCTCCCATTACCAGGCCTTGCCCATTCTTGTTTCTAAATCAGTCCTTTGGTTGCAACACTCATGCTCATCACCTCAAGCCTCCTTGTTCTGCCCTTGCCCCCATTCGGAGCCTCTAAGATACACACCAGATGCTCTTACTCTAGCCTTGCCCTAGGTGGATTGAAGAAAGCATCATGTATCCATAGGAAGTGGTGCATGGGCCCAAGGAAGTATTAGAAATGGAAGAAGGCATGCCCAAGGGCCAGGTTAAGAACTCCAGGCAAGGTGGCCTCCCGGGGCCATCTGGATCTTCCTTAACTGTAGAGTTGCAGAGCTGCTCCATCCATGAATAATCTATTCAGCCTGCCCACCACACACACATACTCCAGCCTGAAGCACTGTTCTGCCAGGACAGATGGCTGGGCTTCATGCCAAAGGCTCTCTTTCCGTCCTCCTCCTTGCCCACCCACCCCCCTGAGGACTGGGGGCCTCTAAGAAGGCTGGGGTAGAGGGTCATTTAGCTACAAGGGCTCTGGCCTCTCCCAGATCAAAGGAAGCAGATGGGCTTTGGCTGGCAGCTCTTCCCTCTGCCTGTCAGGCCTTGTTAAATATTTAAAATGTCAAGGCCCCTGGGAACCTGCCCGATTCTGCCACAGAGCTCCAAGGCTTGTCTGATGCCTATAAATGTGGTGGGCATGTAGAAGAGCAGGTTCCCAGGTGGGTGGCTCAGTCCCTGACAGGCCTCTGAGACCCTATGTCCCCATGGCAGCCCAGGGACCAGCCCTTCCCCCTAGCTCCTAGGGCCCAGCTGTCTGGGGCCAGGAGCAGGTGATTCTCACTCCCCCATTTCCTCAGCGCAGCAAGCAGCAAGCCTGGAGCAGGCAGGCTCCTCAGCAGGCCTTCTTAATGGAAGGGGCAGACTTAACTGTACTTCCGGCCCCATGCCAATCCTCTGGGGGCCCAGAAAGGGTTTGACAGAGGAAAAGCGGGCCAGGTAGGTATGTGGCATGTTGGTGGAGGGGACTTTGGCAGTTATTACCTCTGCAGAGATTCAGAAGGATTCTAGAACCCATCCTGAAAAAGGGTCTGCCTGCTGGTCAGGAACCTCCTGGTAGGCTAGTTAGGGGGCTCTGCACCCTGCCCCTGTCTTATCTGCTCTCCACCGACAGTCAAAAGAAGAAGGGGGCAGATGAGCTGAGAGCTGACACAATGTGGTCCTAATCCAATTCTGATGGCATCTGGCCTCTGCTCTGGGCAAACAGCCCATCTGTGTCCATGCCAACCGCCCAGCCTCTTTCCCCATGTCTTGGGCCTGCTAGGTGGGCACATGTTTGAAACCAGAAGGACCAGAGCTGCCTTCTCTACCACACCCATAAGCAATGGTACCATGGCAGTTGTGACAGCTGTTGGGACCCCCAACCCTACAGAAAGGCCAAGGCTCAATCTGAAGGCAAGTGCTAGTCTTGGGCAGAGGAGGGGAGGGGAATTGCTGCAATAGCAAGGGCAATCCAAGGACAAGGCAGAGGAGGGGAAGGAGCGAATTTCTGTGGGAAAGGGACTAAGGGCCTCATTGGCTTTGGGAACAGTCTGGACATGTGAAGCAGGACAATCAGGAAGCAGAGTCACATGGTGCCATGGGTCTCAGGCTTTCTAGAAGCTAAAATGGATCACTTCCCCTCTCTGGGGGCTCCAGGCCAAGGGCAGTGTAGACCCCAAGTGTCTAGGAGCTTAGAGTTCTGGTGCATCCCTTGTAATGTTGAGTCTTTCATAGCTCCTGCAGTTGAAGGCAAAAAGGCTCAATCTGGGGAAAAGACTGAGGTCTCCCAGATACCCTACTGGGAAAGCTGTGGTGGGGGTAGGGAGAAAGCTGAGGAGGCCCAGCCTTTCTTCCTAACACCTTACTAGGAAAGCTGTGGGACTTCAGAAAGAGGTCTTTGGCCCTAGTAGAAATCTGAGATGCCAGCCCAGCCCAGGCTCAATGAGGGCAGGGAGAGAAAGGCAGGGACAGCTGCAGCCCTTCTGGGTGGGAAGGACACTGTGGCTGGATGCTATGGACGTGCCAAGGCTGTGCTGCTTGCAACTTTTGCTCTTGTCAGTCCTTCATTTAAGCTCCTCCCTGCTCCTCTGAGAAGGCCCATTGTCAGCACTTCCTTATTGATGAGCGATCTGGGGCTGAGTCTTATTGCTTTCCTAAACTCCGCCTGCTGTGCATGCTCCATGGACCAGATGGCTCTTTTGATCACCACTCAGCTCCTTCAGCAGGTGGTAGAAGCTATGTCAATGACTCTGGTGGGAACTTCAACCTACCACCCAAATACTAGGTGTCAGTGTAGAGCTGGTCCCTTTGGGGTGTAGCACTGGAGGCCTGGGTGAACCTAAGGAGGGGCTGGATCAGCCTGCAGAGAAGATTGCCAGCTAAGGGTAAGGCTGTGGCAATTTCTCACTTGTCTGAGATCTACATGGAGGTTACCTCCACGGTCCTGGAGCCATGAGTTAAGGACTTCTCTGCCCTTGGACCCTACAGTGATCGAAGTGTCTCATGTTAGGCCTGAGAGGAGCTTCCCTTTCCTCCCCTTTCCTCTCCTTTCCTCTCCTGTTCTCTGCATGAGTCAGTGACAGTCCCCTTAGTCTCGGCCATCCCCATCGCCAATTCCAAGAAGGTGTTGGGTATTTGGGAGCCACGTGCCTGGGCATTTCCCGGGCACTGTGGGCACCAGACCTTGGGTCATCCTCTCCTCAACTCTGTGTCATGGTATCTTGGCCCTGTGGGACTCTGTTGTCCTTTCCTGGTGCTGGTCCTTTCAAACTCCAGCCGCCTCTGGAGCTGGTAAATGGAGTCCTTCCTCCCCCACTGCAGAACAGGCTCCCTGCACGACCTAGAGGATCAGTTCCCCATAGCAACAGCTAGTTATGAGAAGCCATAAACCTCTGCCTTCGTTTCTTCCTGCAAGCCCCATACTTCCACCTTGAAGGACTTCCAAGCCTCCCTTTCATAAGACCTTATGTAGATCTCTGGAACTAAGAACTTGCTCTCACACTCATTCTCTCTGAGCTTTCCCTGGGAAACTTCTAGAAAGTAGGCCTCCATCCATGTCCAGAAGACATTGTTCTATCTTCCTCAACAGCTATGCTCCTGGATACATCCATGTCCCTGGTTCCCCTGTGCCTTGCCCCCTTTGCAGATCAGGCTGGGTAGCCCTGCATATCTTTGGAAAAGGTAGGCCATAGGGTAGGGTGGCCAAGGTCCAAAGGCTGCCTCACTTTCAAGGTGCCAGAGTCTCAAACACAGTCCCATCTTTCAAGCATGTGTGGGGCCTAGTGACCAGCACTCTCAAGAAGACATGGAGTCTAAGTGTTAGGAGACAGATAACTTTGTCCGATCCCTCTAGAGAGGGCCCTGGCCAATTCTTTGGCACTTGGGTGAAACTGGGCTAATATTACCTGGATCCCCTTCATTGGTAACCTCCCCACAAATCCACTGAAGCCACTTAGATATTGATTCACCTCTCTACTCACCCTCAACCCAAGGAGCCCCTGGGTGCTCTGTTCTGCTCCTATCTCAGCTACCCTTGGCCACATAGCATCCTCCTGGGTCCTTGCTGTCCTTTCCTTTGTTGGGTGTTAGCGCTTCCCTGCAAGCATCCCTCAAAGATAACTTTGACACAGAAATGACAGCAGACATGAATGGTGCAGAGTGTAGGCTAGTGTTTCAGCAATTGAGACATCTACAGGCCTAAGACCTCCTTCCCTAGACTTGCTGTCTTATAAGTGCATCAGGATATACATAGCCCCTTTTCCTGGGTTACCATCTCTTCCTCAGGCTGGGTACTCACTATGAGGGCTGTGCTTGGTCCCCTATGTGCAGGTCCTGTGCCTGCAGAAAGGCTTGTAGCACTTGGCCTGTACCACTCTGCATTCTCTAAGCATCCACTCTGGAGTTCCAGAGAGGCAGGCTTTAGCTAGAGAGCCACAAGGGGCACTCTTGCTGCTGCTGCAGCAGCTTAGTCAGAGATGCTTATGGTACCAAGGGCTAGCCTGTGCCATCTTCTTCTGTGCTTCTGTCATTTTCCCGGCACACTGTGTAGGCCTGGCAGACAACACCAATGACTTAGAGAAACGCAGGCAGATCTATGGGCAGAACTTCATCCCTCCCAAGCAGCCCAAGACCTTCCTGCAGTTGGTATGGGAAGCCCTGCAGGATGTGACTCTCATCATCCTGGAGGTGGCTGCCATCGTCTCCCTGGGCCTCTCCTTCTATGCACCACCTGGAGAGGAAAGTGAAGGTAAGGGGCGAGGCTCTGGGCTAGAAAGGGGGGTCCCAGCGCTTGGTTTCCATGACTTTACATCTCCTTCATGTTCTCCTCCATCCTTGGTCACAGCCTGTGGGAATGTATCTGGTGGGGCAGAGGACGAGGGAGAGGCTGAGGCTGGCTGGATCGAAGGGGCTGCCATCCTACTCTCTGTCATCTGTGTGGTGCTGGTCACGGCCTTTAATGACTGGAGTAAGGAAAAGCAGTTCCGAGGTCTTCAGAGCCGTATTGAGCAAGAGCAGAAGTTTACTGTCATCCGAAATGGACAGCTCCTCCAGGTCCCTGTGGCAGCACTGGTGGTGGGGGACATTGCCCAGGTCAAATATGGTAAGTGTACCCATCTTCTTCTACCCTGCCAAGAAAGCCTGAATGCCATTTCTGAGAAGGGTGAGCCAAAGGAACCTCCCCAGCTTAGACTGTCTCCCCAGTAGTCTGTGTGTTTCCCCCTACAGGGGCCTGGGATTGGAGCATGCGGGGTGTGATTAGGGGCAGAAAAGAAATTTGAGGTACAACAGTACCCACAGGAAGCAAGCTGGCCTCAGCCTCTGGAGAGGTATTCTTCTACTACTATAGGATACAAGTGTTGTCCCTGTTATTTGAGAGCTGGACAACATGGTTAGATGTGGATGATCCCCCCCATACACACACACACAAAAGAGGAGGCAGAAAGAAGAGAGACCCCCAGACCTCTCCCAGATGATAGGACCTCCCCTAGGAAAGGCAGGAAGAGGAAAGGGTAGGGAGGACCCATGGATCCATAGCCTTCAGTTCTGGCCTGGGCTGGCTTATAGGAGACCTTCTGCCTGCCGACGGTGTGCTAATCCAAGGCAATGACCTCAAGATCGATGAGAGCTCCCTGACGGGCGAGTCAGACCATGTGCGCAAGTCAGCAGACAAAGACCCTATGCTGCTCTCAGGTAAGGGTTACCTTCTCAGACAGCCCAGGTAAGGTTGCTTGAAAACCTGGCCCTAGCATCCCCAGGCAAGCCATCCTGGTGGACTTGCCTTAACTAAGATCTCCCTGAATAGCCCTTCTGAGAATGCTACCCACTGCCATGCCAGAGCAGGTCACTGGAGGCCTGGTGGTGTGGCTCCAGCCACAGGACAAAGAAATGATACTCCACTGTTCAAGAGGACCTTTGATATCATGAATGGGACATCCCAAGGGGAGGGCTTTCTGGGGTCAATAGTGTGCTCCATCTACATATAGACTCTGAAGATGACCCCATGTATGTTTTGTTCCTTTTCTAGAAGGTTCAAATTCAGCACACTTTTATCTTAATGGGAAATGTAATATGAAACCGAACAGAAAAACCAGAGGTCCCCTGGTGGGCCCCGTAATGGCTCAGACTGTGCTTCTGACAAAGACCCGCCAGTCTGTGGTACTTTGGCTCATTCCCACTACAGCAAGCCTATAAACAGGCTGCAGTCTAGATGAAGGGGTCAACAGCTGCAGTGACTTCTGCAAGAGAAGTACCTGCTTCAGGGAAACCCTAAGAGCCAGCATATGGGTGCTGAGCGTGTCCTACCAGGTTGTCTTAGTTCCTCTATGTTTCTGTGCCAGGCACTCATGTCATGGAAGGTTCTGGAAGAATGGTGGTAACAGCTGTTGGCGTGAACTCCCAGACAGGCATCATCTTTACATTGCTTGGAGCTGGTGGAGAGGAGGAGGAGAAGAAAGACAAGAAAGGTAAGGCAGCCATGATTCCAATGTCCAGAGATGATGAGACAGCTTCCTTCTATGTTAATGTCCTTGCTTCTTCATCTGCCTGCTGGCCAATCCTGGCTCCAGGGAGATGGGTGGGAAGCCACCACCTTCTTCTAATTCTTCTTGAGGATCCTTCTGGTATTTTTTCTAAGAGTGTAGGGGCAACTTTCCTTAGACGGCTAATCTATGATGGCTTTGGTACATCTGTCCCTGGGGTAAAGTGTGCTCACAGAAATGTAACCTCTTATCTCAACTTTGAAAGGTACTGCTGGGATCTTCAAGCTCACCCTCAAAGTACTCAACTTCCATAGGGAAGATTCGGGGTGCTCACAAAATCTAAAGTGGAAGTCTTCTGAGCAGATAGGGATAGGTCTCAAAATAACAGCCAGGGCCAGGGGATGCCGGATGGGGTGGGCAAGGTAGGCTCTTTAGCAAGTGGTAGCCCTGTCTCTGAGGATAGCAATGGATAGAAACAGAAGATTTTGGAGAGTCCAGCTTCCTTATGACCCCGAGATCCCTGGCCTAAAGCTACTATACCACCCCTTCCAGCCATGGCACTCAAAACCATGGAGTTACAGAGCTTCCCCTTGTCAGACCCTGCTCCTCTGTGACTCAGGCACACACCCTAGCTCTGGTGAGCAGTCTGCCCTTGGTTCTTTTCCACAGCCCCAGGTGACTATGGAGCAGATACTTCCAGATGCATGCCCGCCCGTCTTAGAGGACCTGGAGCCACAGTCTATACAGGGACAGACCAGCATGAGGAAGGACAAGTTAATAGTCCTGGCCTTAGGCTACTTCTTGAGGTCCCCTGTCCCTGGGAGCCTGGAGACATGACTGTCAGGGCTACAATCACTGAGAAGCTTCTATTATCCTTATTCCCTGGCAGCCTGGTCCTGTGCCTCCCTGTATGGGCACCTCCCTGATGTTGACAGGCCAGGTCTTCTGCCACCTGCACCAAGTCCCCAATCTCCACTGAGCCCCTCCCAGTGTTATCCCACAACTTTAATGTGTGCTCCAGGAATACAAAGACAAATGATAGGTTAGTTTGAGTCCCCAGGCATGATGACCTTACCTAGTGTCTTCTTGGTTCTGTTAGGTTGACAGGACACGCCTTCCACATAAATCCCTTTAGGAAATCCACTCCCTCCCCTTGAAGCCAATGGTCTCTCCCTTGAGCTGCTATCACCTGCACTTTCCTGGTGTCCCTGGTGGCTCCTTTCCAAGCTCCTAGCCTCCTGTTCTATCTCTTAGATAGTCTTCACAGCTTGGGCCTAGGCCACTCCCTCCTCATTGAACTTGATCTTCTTCATCCAGACCCTCCAAGACAAGCTGCATGCACTTCACCAACACTGCTTGGCTGTGAGACTTAGGGAACTGGAGTGGGCCAGCTTCCTGGAGAAGTACCCCGAGGGGCTCTGAGGAATAGCATCTATCTTGGCCAGTGCCCTCATCTTACTCTTGTGGTTCTGTCAACCCACTGGGCATGCTCTGAAGCTGTTCCTTGTCAACCTGCCACCCTTACATTCTATTGCTATCTTTTCTCATGACTCCTATATGCCCTTTTCTTCCTGAGTCCCTCTGTAGTAATATGGGGCGGCAGGGCTGCGTCCCCCACACCCGGCCGCCCACATGGCTAGCTTATGCCCGAAATAACAACACACAAACTGTATTCATTTAAACACTGCTTGGCCCATTCTCTTCTAGGCTAATTCTCACATATTAATTTAGCCCATCTCTAATCATCTGTGTGTAGCACCCCAAGGTGCGCTTACCGGGGAGATTCTAGCCTAGTCCATCCTGGGTCCGAGCTTCATCCCGGGAGCAGGGCATGGCGTCTCTCTCAGGCGTCTGTTCCCGAGAGGAGAGCTGTGAGTCTCTGACCTCACTTCCTTTTCCTCCCAGTGTTCTGTCCTGTTTTCTCCTCCCACCTATCCTCTAACCAATAAAATGGGCCAGTGCAGTGCCTTTATTAGCCAATGACCTTCCTCCATCATTTCCCCTTTTTCGGTTTAAACAAAAAAAAAGACTTTAACATAGCAAAATTACATATAACAAAACAGTTATCAAGTAAAAGTTACAATAATCTTTATCATAACTAAGGAAAACTATAACTATTCTTAACTCCATCAAAGACTCCAGAAAGATATAATATTACCTAAGTAAACAAGAACTAATACTTCAAACTCTAGAAATGACAAAGACATCTCGCTGCCTGGACCCAAAGTTCTTTTGTACCATTGGGGCATCCATCTTCAGCCTTCAGGCCCATGGTATCCAGCAGACATTTCCATAAAGCAGGAAAATTCAAAGTCAGTTCAGTCACTATCTGTTGTGTCCTGCAGAATGTCTCGCAGACTCTTTCAAAATGAATCAGGAACCCCGAAAGATCATCTCACCTTTAGGCAAGTTCAGTAGTCCTCTCTCTGAGGGTTCTCTGTGTCCAGTTTATGCAATAGTCCAGGCAAGAGCAGTTTCTTGCCCATATGGCTATCAAACTCCATAAGGTGCCTCTTCGATGCCCATCTTCCTCTTGAAGTACATTGGTGCTGCCAGGAGCAGAGTGTCTCATTGTCATGAAAAGTCCTCAGTTATTAAAACATTAAATGTCCTATTCTGTAATCTTTGAAAGACATGAAGAATGTCTATCTAAAATATATCTATGCACATCTAGAAAATATTAACTAACATGACTACAAGCTTTACTATTATCGATGATTATCCATTAACAACCTATATTTCTTAATTATACAGTACATATTTAAATGAACTACACAATCACAATACCTTAATCAAAATCAGAAACACTTATACATATAACAAAATTGACCTTAAATCTCTATCAATAAAGCAAAATCTATACTAATGCAAATTATTCATATCTATATCATATCCCCCTTTAAATGTAAAGGAACATTTATAAACCATATTTGGGAACATGGGCGCAGTTATTTCTCTCCAAACTGCTTCCTGCTGAATGGGGGCGTCGTTAATTAGGTCTTTCATGGTATAACCTGTGTGTTAGCTTCATCTCAGTTGGCAGTTGAGCGAAGCAATTTTTTGAAGGCGTTCACACCAACCCTTCAGGAGGGCGTGGTCCATCATACCAAATCGGAATAGAAGAAATGAACAGCGTCTCATCCTCTGTGAAAACAAAATAAGAAACTCCTTTCCAAAGTATCATATCCTTAGATACAAATTCAAAATATCTATGTTGGATTAGTTCAGCAGCATTTATAAACAAATATCTTTTAGTAGCTTTTGCTCTTTCCTCAGCATTCAAACAATTCAAAGAGAGCATAATAGCATACAGTATCAAGATTCTCTGTGTATTTTCCATCTTTGTGCAGCTTTGTTTTAACCTCTATTTTGTTTATTTTTACTTTTAACTCTTTGCTTTTTGAGACAGGTTCTCTGTATCTTTGACCTGAAGTAACTCTGTAAACCAGGCTGTCTTTGAACTCTCAGAGATCCGCCTGTCTCTGCCTCCCAGGCATTCGGGATTAAAGGTGTACACTACTACACCTTGAACTCACAGAGATCTGTTTGTCTCTGCCTTCTAGGCACTGGGATTAAAGGCGTGTGCTACCACACACACAACTTTCTTCCTTTTTTTTTGTTACTTTAAGAACTTTAAATTTTAGTCTGCATATATTTTTAACACACTTCAAACCATTTAGAAATTTTCTTTGTCTTTGAATCTCTCTTTACTATATATCTCTCTTTTTCTGACCACACGAGCCTTTAAATTACTGAGCAATATGGGTAGGATTAAAGGCGTGGCTTTGCCAGCTAGATCCAGTCCATTCCTTAGCTTTCCAGCCTCATGGCTGAGGTACTGGCTGTAGCCAGCAAGCGAGCTTCAGCAGCCTGTGTTTGCAAACCGCAGGGACCGCCTGCGTAAAAGAGTCAGAGTTTGTCCTGGCAGGACAGCCCAGAAAGCCGGCATTTTTAAATGGCGCAGCTTTTTTCCTGCTATGGCTGAAAACCGAAAAGCATGCGTTCAGCTTTAACCGTTTAAGTGTTTCGTGGCAGGACCTCTTAATGAGCTGCAGGCTTTTGCAGCTAAAGCTGAGTCAGGAAGCCTCTCTTAGATGACGCGCCCGCTTGCCTCTAGCAAGCAGAGCAGACCCGAGAACACAGCGAGTCAAGTTGCCATCAAACAAATCGTAGCACTTTACTCCAAATGCTCTATTCAAAAGCTCTGTCTCCTGCAGGAGTCAGACAGAGATCGCAATGGTGGCACAGCCCCAGGAAGTCGCGCTTTAAAATGACACAGCGTTTTTTCTGCTACTGTTGCCGAATCAGGAAATCTCTCTACAGCACGCCACCAACAAACAGCAAAAATCTGTGTTAAACTCTCTCTCCCTTATTTTTAAGCCTTCTCAGGTTTTTTAAGTGGGTTTCGGCTGTCCACATGTCTGGGCGCCAACTGTAGTAATATGGGGCGGCAGGGCTGCGTCCCCCACACCCGGCCGCCCACATGGCTAGCTTATGCCCGAAATAACAACACACAAACTGTATTCATTTAAACACTGCTTGGCCCATTCTCTTCTAGGCTAATTCTCACATATTAATTTAGCCCATCTCTAATCATCTGTGTGTAGCACCCCAAGGTGCGCTTACCGGGGAGATTCTAGCCTAGTCCATCCTGGGTCCGAGCTTCATCCCGGGAGCAGGGCATGGCGTCTCTCTCAGGCGTCTGTTCCCGAGAGGAGAGCTGTGAGTCTCTGACCTCACTTCCTTTTCCTCCCAGTGTTCTGTCCTGTTTTCTCCTCCCACCTATCCTCTAACCAATAAAATGGGCCAGTGCAGTGCCTTTATTAGCCAATGACCTTCCTCCATCATCCCTCCCTCGCCTCCTGTGCTCTGCTTTACTCCAGGCTACCTCTTCTAGTCATGTTCACTTTGCTTCCTAGCACCAGTATTGGGAAGTTCACAACCCCCTGCAACTCCAGCTCCAGAGGCCCCAAATGTCCTTTCCTGGCCTCCATTGTCACAGACACACACACAAATAAAAGAGACATAGGCCCATGCATGCACTCACACATGCATGAACACACACACACACACACACACACACACACACACACACACACACAAATAAAAGAAGTCTCTTTCACCTCTAAACTACCCCTAACCCACACAGGGGCCCTGGGCAAAGAGGGTCCAATATATGATCTGCTTATGGTTGAAGATGTCTCTCTCATTCTTGGGACCCCAGATTGTGGTTCCATTGCCTAGAAGCTACCCGATACTCTGTCTTTTGATTCCCCAGTGACATGAGCTACTGGGTAGAAAATGATCCTGTGCTGGAAGATTCCTCCCTAAATGGGGACCAGTGAAGATGTGGCTCCCAGATAAACTCCTCTAACTGCTGTAGTAATACGAGCAGCGGGGCTGCATCCCCAGCACCCCGGCCACCTGGCTAGCTTATACCCTGAAATAATTACACGGACACTGTATTCTTTTAAACACTGCTTGGCACATTTCTATCTAATCTCTTCTAGGCTAATTCTCACATATTAATTTAGCCCATTTCTAATCATCTGCATAGCACCACTAGATGCACTTACCGGGAAGATTCTAGCCTACGTTCATCCTGGGTCGGAGCTTCATCGCGTGTGCCCCAGAGAGCAGAGCTGTCAAGTCTGAGCTCACTTCCTCTTCCTCCCAGCATTCTGTTCTGTTTACTCCTCCCACCTATGTTTTAACCTATGAGGGCCAAGCAGTTTCTTTATTGCTTAACCAATGAAATCAACAGATTGGTATATGACACTCCCACATCAAACTGCCACCTGGGCTGTGCAACCCTCAGAAAGAGTGACTGGCACTATGGGCTGTACCCAACCTAAGGCTTCAGACAGAGCCACCTGGAGTCTAGTATTTGCACCTTCTCCCTAGTGCTGCTGGGTACTCACCACTTAGACCTCCTTTTCACAGTGGCTCTGGACCTACAGTTTGGATGTGCCCACCAGGGCCCTAAAACAGACAGAACCCTGTCCCTTTAAAGGACACACATCTAGTAGTGGCCTCAGAGAAGAGTACAGGGGTTGGGTTGGTTCAGGGCTTGGGAGTTACCTCCTGTTGGGTCTGAAAGATCAGATATCTAAGGGAAGTACATACCTTAAGGCAGCGGGCCTTCCAGAAACTGTCAACAGCTACTTCACCTGACCCAGAAACCGCCCAGGACTGGCTTTAGAGACTCACTGTGGAGCGGAGGTCAAGGCCCAGTGGGAAACACTGGGTAGGAGCTTGGCCCAGGAAGCCCAGAGTATATGCAGTTAACATGTTCTGGGAGGTACTGACAGATTGCTCCTAGAAAGAATAGATCATCAAGAAAGCCCATCCATAGGCAAGGTCATGGCTAGCAGCAATCAGGCCTTTCCTTTCCCTCCTCTACCCCATGGAGCTGCAAACTGCTATATGTGCCCAAGTTCTTCCTGCTCTCCTGTGCTTCTGTGTATGTCATGACCACATGGGTGTTCTCAAGTCTCTCCGTGTCTGTCATTCCTCTTCCATTGTAGGCAAGCAGCAGGATGGGGCGATGGACAGTAGCCAAATCAGAGGTAACGTGCGTGCATGGCTCAGGGCTGCTGAGGAGCTTGTGGGGAGGAGGGAGAGAAGGGGGAATGGGGAGGGACCACCTACTGCCAAGGAAGAAGCAGCACCTAAAGACAGGTGAGTGGGCCCCAAAGTCCCATCCTGGCTTGGCAGTGAAGGGGATACTCTTGGAGGATGCTCCAGTTTCTACCAGACACTGCTTCCATGAAGCCTAGATGAGCCACCTGGAAAACGACTGGTCAGTGCCAAGGCCACCAGCATGGCTTGAACTTGTCCATGTATGAGAATTCCCCATAGACACCTGAGACCACTTTGGCCAGATAAGGAAACTGAGGCATAGAGAGGGTAACTTGTCAAAATCCCTAGGTGACAGTCCTCTGAGTTTCCCAGGTAAGAGGAGTTAGCCAAAGCCTGGAAGATAAGCGAGATTGCTAGGGCTTTGTGGACTAGGAGGCATCTGGCTCTGGCCCTTGCTTGGTGGGATAACAGAAGGTAGGGACTCAAGGCTAGAGTGACCCAGCTAGGCAGGGTCTGGCATGTCCTGAAGGCTGCTAGGAGGAAAGAGCTATGGTAAGTAGTCTCGAACTGCCAGGTGAGGTGAAGGGATGCAGAATAAGAGGAAGACAAACTGAAGCCGGGTGGTGGCAGTGCACACCTAAAATCCAGCACTTGAGAGGCTGAGACAGGTAGATCTCTGTGAGTTTAAAGCCAGCCTGGTCTACAAAGTGAGTTCCAAGACAGGCTCCAAAGCTACAGAGAAACCTTGTCTCAAAAAAAGAAAAATAAAACAAAAAAGTGTAGAGTTGTGCTATGATAGCCATGGTCACCTTTAGCTGGGTGGTGGTGGCGCACACCTTTAATCCCAACACTCGGGAGACAGAGGCAGGCAGATTTCTGCTCTACAGAGCTAGTTCCAGGACAGCCAGAACTGCTACACAGAGAAACTCTGTCTAGAAAAACTAAAATAAAGAAAGGAAGGAAGGAAGGAAGGAAGGAAGGGAAGGAGAAAAGAAAGGAAGCAAGGAAGGAAGGAAGGAAGGAAGGAAGGAAGAAAGGAGGGAAGGAAGGAAGAAGACAAAAACAAAAACAAAATGGGGGACACCCCTACAACTGCTAGGTCAGGCAGCCCCTTCCTTAGGAAGAGTGGAGGAGGCAGGTGGAGTGGACATGGTTATTTTTGGCAATGTAGCTGGAGAGTTTCGAGCCCAAGGACTGTGTAAAACTTGACAAAGAGAGAGAGATGAGGAATCCATGTCACCACCACAAAGGCAGCAAGAATAAAAACTAAGGGGCCTATAAAGGTGAAGTGGAGCCACGTGATCTAAGAGGGAGGTAGGGAAATATCAGGAGGAACAGAACAGGTTTGCCCACAGAGGAGGCGAGCTGGGCAGGGTTGTCTAGGCTAAAAGGAGCATACACTAGGGCCCCTTAGTGATCTTGAGGGGAAAGTAGAAGTGGCTTGGATATCTGTGGGCAAATGAGTCAGATTTTGGTTCCAGAACATTCCTTGGACCAACCACAGGACTTCTTTCAGGTATTGAGCTTTGGGACATTACTGGACTGACCACCTTGTCTGTCACAAGTTCCTTATGCTAGTGTCTGTCCACCCTTCCCATAAAAGAACCATCTCTCTGTCCCACCTAGGACAATGCTGCAACTGCCTGCCTACCTCAGGAGGGCCTGGGCTTAGGATGCAACAGAAGCCTACAGATTCCCTTTGCAAAACTTGAAGTTAAAAGTGCTCCATTGAATCCCATATGATGAGACATGTCTTTCCTTGTGATAACCCTCTATAGCCCCTTTACCCTTGATAGGCCCTAACTTCAGCCAAGGGTTTCCTCTATGTACAGCTAAGAAGCAGGATGGGGCTGTTGCCATGGAAATGCAGCCCCTGAAGAGTGCTGAGGGTGGGGAAATGGAGGAGCGAGAAAAGAAGAAAGCCAACGTACCCAAGAAGGAGAAGTCAGTTCTGCAAGGAAAGCTCACAAAACTCGCTGTGCAGATTGGGAAAGCAGGTATGTTCAAGCCAGAGATGGCATGCCAGGAGCCTGGGGGACACTGGGCTCCTGGAAGGAATATGACTTCCAGATGCTGTGAGTGCAAAGGACAGAATATTGTCCTGGCTCTAGGAAAGCTCGCGTACAGAGAAATGGATAGTATTCCAGAAGAATGTCATATACTGGTGGGCCAGAGGTGCAGGCCAGAGCCAACCATGACTGCCAAGGTCTGGCTTAGCACCCTCCACCCCAATAAGGCCTAAGTCACACACTCATGTATTACCTAGCAAATCCCCTGATTCAAGGTTTCTGGCCACATCATAGTCAACAGGTAGCCAACTTCACCGAGAGCCTGCTGGCCAGAGCCCCAAAATATGAGGGTGGCTAGTACCTCACAGATGTACCTTTCATACCCTTAGCTTTCTGTTCTTTACCCCACACTGTCCTGGGGAACTAGAGCAAAGGCTACCCTAGGACCTCTCATTCCATGGAGTCATCCTTCAAGCTGTTTATCCCAAAAGGTACCCCAAATCCATCAAGCCCTTACAACGGCCCTGACTGGGCTCAGGCCAGCCATGGCTACCTTGCCCTGAACTTTTCTTCCTTCTCTCCTCTCACCTCTTGTGGCCCCTCTCCATCATGGCTGGACAGGGTTGGTGATGTCTGCCATCACTGTCATCATCCTGGTCCTCTACTTTGTGATTGAGACCTTCGTCGTGGATGGCCGGGTGTGGCTGGCAGAGTGCACACCTGTCTATGTGCAGTACTTTGTGAAGTTCTTCATTATCGGAGTCACTGTGCTGGTTGTGGCTGTCCCTGAGGGCCTGCCTCTTGCTGTCACTATCTCCTTGGCTTACTCTGTCAAGGTAATAATACTACTACTTACAACTAATTCCATCACACAGACCCCAAAACTAGAGTGGGATGTCATCAAAGCACCTTAGGTGTAGTGGGGACTAAAGAAGGCTAGGGATGCTAAAGGAAGAAAGGATACTGGCTGAGATGAACTTTGATAATACATCCTAACAGACAGTCCCACTGTGACCACCCATCCCTTGGACACAGTGAAGGGAGCTAGAAAAGAAGCTGATGTCGAGAGAGACCTCACAGGGAGATTCAGAGGATCCAAGACAAAAAAGAACTAGTGCTGCTTGTAGAGACAGAGACAGAGAGGCAGAGCCTCAGAAAAGGCTTTGGGCCACTGAGAAGCAGTTGGAGAGTAAAGAAGAACCAGGGGAGTGTGGAGGAGCACAGATATAGGAGCCAATTGACGAGGGAGCTCTGGCAGAAAGCGTCCAAGTCATTCATACAGAGAGTAGCTTCTTGGAAGCTCACTGTTCCCCATCTGATGACAGCCCTTGCATCTTACTCTCTGTTTGATTGCCACCCATCCCAGAGATGACCAAGGTCACCAAATGGACTGTTAGTATCACTCGCATTGCCTTTATCCTTATAAGTAAACAACTAAGTACCCCCCCACACACTCCATCTTTGCTCTTTACAGAAAATGATGAAGGACAACAACCTGGTACGCCACCTGGATGCCTGTGAGACCATGGGCAATGCCACAGCCATCTGTTCTGACAAGACAGGCACACTTACCACCAACCGCATGACCGTGGTCCAGTCCTACCTAGGAGACACCCACTACAAAGAGATTCCAGCTCCCAGCGCCCTGACCCCCAAGATCCTTGACCTTCTGGTTCATGCCATCTCCATCAACAGTGCCTATACCACCAAAATACTAGTAAGCAAGGCTAGGAGGGCAGATGAGAGAAGGGGGCAGGACTGGTGCATGAGCTTCTTGAAGAGACTCACTGGGCTTACTTATAAATCTTGGGGTGCTGAGAAAGTAACTAAGTGGTATTGGTAAAGAATTTGCCTAGTGTACATGAAGTTTGCCCAAAATGGTTTGCCCCATCATACTATAAAAAGAAACACAGAACAGGGGAGAACAGGTGGACTTTTTCATCAGGACCATTGGCTCCCCAATAATGGCATGAAGATTCATTATTAATTATGAAAGCTCAGCTGATAGATTAAGCCTGTTTCTAACTATCTCTTACAACTTAAATTAACCCATTTCTATTAATTTACTTTCTGACTAATGGCTTTATTACCCCTTCTCTGTAGTGCACATCCTGCTTGTTCTGCATCCCTGGCATCTCTACCTTCTTCTTCCCAGTATCCTCTCTGCCTAGAAATCCTGCCTAACTATTGGCCATTTAGTTTTCTTATTAAATCAATCAGAGTCACACATCTTTATAGTGTACAAAAAGAATATTCTGCAACAGAAATGCAAAAAAACAAGGTTAAGGAGATATACCAGTCAGTAAATTGCTTGCCTTACAAGCATGAAGACTTGAATTTACTTACCAGAACCTATTTAAAAAAAAAAACTAGGCAGAAGTCTGCTTGTACTTCCAGCACTGGGGAGGCAGAGACAGGCAGATATCAGGGGCTCCAGGTTAGTGACAGACCCCATCTCAACAAAACAAGAAAAATTACAGACTTTTAAGAGGAACCTTTAGGGTGCTGGTTGCCTTTGTCCCTGTCCTCCTGTCCTTGGCATTACAGAGTGCTCTTGATATTGAGTGAGATAGGTTGTTCTAGAAGTCCTTTCAAAGCATGCTAAATGATGGAAAACCTACCTATAAAGGGCCACTTTGCAGTCAAGTCATGGCCTGTGTAGTCAACAAGGGTGGCCTTACTCTGTTCCACGCCTCTGCCTCCTAGCTACATGATGATCAAAGCCAAATGGGAACCTTTGCTTTGGGGATGGAACAGAGGGTGCTCTGGGCCCTGATGCCAAGCTGACTGTCCTTTCCTACAGCCTCCAGAGAAGGAAGGCGCTCTCCCACGCCAAGTGGGCAACAAAACAGAGTGTGCTCTGTTGGGCTTCGTCCTGGACCTGAAACGAGACTTTCAACCTGTACGGGAGCAGATTCCAGAAGATAAGCTTTACAAAGTATACACCTTCAACTCAGTCCGCAAGTCCATGAGCACGGTTATCCGCATGCCTGATGGTGGCTTCCGCCTCTTCAGCAAGGGAGCCTCAGAGATCCTGCTCAAAAAGTAAGTGGGTAACAGGAAGGAGACAGAGGCTGGGTGGCTGAAAGCTAAAAGGGCACAAAATTTCTTGTTTTATTCTTATGATAAATAGAGCTAACACAATATTGACCATGTTAGCCACTTTAAAGTATACAGTTCAGTAGCATTAAGTATACTCCTAATGTTTGCAGTCATCACCTGTAGGCGGAGGCTGTTCATTTGTTCCCAGACACCCAGACCTGAAATAATCACACAGAGACTATATTAATTGCAATACTGTTTGGCCAATAGCTTAAGTATATTTCTAGCTATCTCTTACATCTTAAATTAACCTGTTTCTATTTTATATTTTACAACAAGGTTGAGGCCTACTGGTAAAGTTCTGGCATCTGTGTCCTTCGGTGACTACATGGCATCTCCTTGACTCCACCTACTTTCTATATCCCTGTTTGAATTTCTCACCTGGCTTTACTCTGTTAAGCCATTGGCTGAAGGCAGCTTTTTTATTAACCAATGGCAATAAAACACATTCACAGCATACAGATGGGAATCCTACATCATTATCACCACTATGGAACTCCAAAAGAGCTCCATTACCCCCAAAAGAAACACTAGGCCCCACTAAGGAGATTTTCCTGCCCCCTCTCTACCTCTGAAAACTTCTGGTCTGTCCTTGTGGTTTCACCTATCCCAGAGACTTCATAAAAGTGGAATTCTGTACTTTGTACCTTTTGTGTCTAGCTTCTATCATAGTTCATAATGTCCTCAAAGTTCCTTTATCAGAACTCCACTCCCATTTGAAGGCTGAGCAACCTTCCATTGTATGGATGACACCACATTTGGTTCAGCCATTCGTCTATTGTCAGACACCCAGATTCTCTCTACATTTGGGCTCTTGTCATTCAAGCACGGGTACTAGTTTGAACACACACACATTGTCAACCCTTTGGGGTATGCACTGTGTCAGAATACTTGTTCTAGCTGCATCAGATGATGAGTCAGGAAGATATCTTGAATCTAGGAGTTTGAGGCCAACATGAGCAACATAGGGAGGCCCTCTCCTCCAACCACCACCAAAAAAGGAGAGAAATCAACTCACAGAAGATTTATTTAGAATTATAATTTTAAAAGTTCAGTCCATGGTCAGTTGTCCCCACTGCCTATGGAGCTGTGACAGGATGAACGCCCATGGCAAGGAGTATATGGTGAAGCAAAAGGCTAGGAAAAGAACAAGGAAGAGGAAGAGACCATAGTACCACAAATCTCTTCAAGAGTAATGAAGATCCCCCAATGACCTAAAATTTTCCTAAAATGCCCCCATGTTAAAGGTTGTACCACCTCCCAACAGCATGAAAGTGGAGATCAACCATTTGATCATCCCTGCCCCTCAAACTGTCCACTCCTAAGATTCCTCCATGTCTTAACTGTTCCAAAAGTCTAAGTTCAAAGTCTCATTCGCACTTAGTATTGAGTCCCTAAAAATTCAAACAACAATTATTTTAACATACAATGGCACAGAGTCAATATTCCCATTCCAAAAGTCAGGAATGGAAGGAAGCATAGTGAGTGCAGATTGAACCAAAGCAAAACAGAAAATGAAAAACTTGTGACTCCATGTCCAATAGCATCTGAGCCATGTGGTGATGTGATAAGACCTACAAAGGCCTTAGGCAGCCCTACCTCTCTGGTTCTGGTTCTCTCTCTCTCTCTCTCTCTCTCTCTCTCTCTCTCTCTCTCTCTCTCTCTCTCCCTCCCCCCCCCCCCCCTGGATTTCCTATTTCCTACAGTTTTCTTCAGCAGGAGTTACATAGTGTGAGAATCTCCGGTAGCTTCAGCCTCACACTCACAGCTGTGTGCACTGCCTAGAGGGATCCTGACACAACCACACATCTATCTCCTGGCTCCCCAGACTTTCCTTTAAAATCTAGGTGAAAACATCCACAACTCTGCAACTCTTGCATTCTGAACCTCTGCAGAATCACCACATGGGAGATGCCAAGGCCTTCCACTAGTTTGAGCTACATCTGGACCCACTTGAACCTCGGCTGCAGTGACTTCTGGGTTTCTTCCTGGGTGAATGAGTAGGACAAGCAGGACATCCTAGAGCTGTCCCCTCAAAAGACTCTGCCTAGAAAGTCTTTAAAAGCAATTAGTATTTATGCATCCCTGAACTGTGGTGGCTATGGCCTTGCTCATTTCTGAGATTCTGTCCAGATATCGTTCCTATAGTATCAGGGTAATGGTTGCCCTTTTGAGGTAGCACTACCACTTCAGCAATGCCCTCTTGCCTTGAACATTATAGCACATCTTCTCTGATAAAACTGCAAGTCTTCTTTTAAAAACGTTTAAAATTACATTTGTGTGTGTGTGTTTATGCACACACGCAATATGTGGAGACCAGAAGACAATGTGGGTCCTGGAGATAAAAGGAAGTCATCATGCCTGAAGGCAAATGCCTTTACCTGATGAACCATCTCACCAGGCCTCTCTTCCTTCTTACTCTGATTACATTAAATTAGGCTTAAAAAAAAAAAAACAACCACAGACTGAATGCTGGGATGCTTGAAATTTCATCTGCCAGATTAATTAATCTACCCTCCTTTACATTTAACCTCACGCTGAGTGTGAGGGCATGGACGAAAGTGTAGACAAGATCTTTTCCATAGCATAATACAAATGGTTTCCAGTCCAGTTATCAATCCTCGTTCTCATCTGCAAGCTTGCAAGCACAGGCTTTACTGTTTGCATCCCTATCAGCATTCTAGTCCTCTGAGTTCCCAACAGAGCTACCTGTTAAACTCTGCTTACAATTTACAGTTCTTAAATACTAGTAAGGATGAGGAGATATTAGAATATTTCTATGTTGCTGGTGGCAACATAAAATAGTATTATTACCATGCCGGGGGAGGTAACTCAGTTGTTTAAAGAGCTTGCCACACCAAGCAAAAAGATCAGTATTCCAGCCAGGTGGTGGCACACACCTTTACTCCCAGCACTTAGGAGGCAGAGGCAGGTGGATCTCTGAGTTCCAAAGCCAGCCTGGTCTACAGAGAGAGTGTCAGGACGTGTAAGGCTGTTACACAGAGAAACCCTGTCTCCAAAACAAACAAACAAACAAACAAACAAACAAACAAACAAACAAACAACAAGAAGAAAAAAGGTGGGTATGTAACTTGGTCCTTGGAGAGAAGAGAAGGGGCAATGGTGGTAGGGAGAGAGACACACAGATAACTGGATTTCATTGGCCAGCCATTCTAGCCAAGTAGATGAGCTCCAGGTTCAGTGAAAAACCAACCCTATCCAAAGAAATAAGGTGGAGAGTAATTATTGAAGAAGACATCCAAGGTGACCTTCGTCTCACACATGCACACACCCACAGACACATGTGCATATACTACACACACACACACACACCACATACTAATAGTATCATTTTGGAAAGTATTTTTATATTTTATATGGTTTCTTAGGAAGTTAAACATAGCACTACCATGTGACCCAGCTGTTTTATTTCTTGGCATATGCTTGGTAATTCACTGATTGTCACCTTGACTGTACCGAGGGATATTTAGAAAACTGGTACCTAGAACTAGAATCATTGCTGTCACCATGCCAGATCCTGTGAAGGAAAACTTAGGATTGACTTGTAATAAGAGTTAGGAACATTTGGAAGCATACACTAGAGAGTTGTCTGTCTTTTGTGTTTTTAAAAATCCTTGCTATATACTGACTGCTAAATCCTCATCAAACATATAATTTGCTCTTTTTACTCTCCTTACAGTGTCTGTAGATGCACAGATATTTTCAAATCATGATGAAATGCAATTTGTCTGTTTTTGCTGTTGATGTTTATGTGGGTTGCTTTTGGCTTACTTCATTATCTTTAGTTTTTATTCCATTTATTTATTTTTAAATTATTGTTGATTTATGTGTATGGATGGTTTGCCTACATGTATGCCTATGTACCAAGCATGTTTTATGCCCATGGAGACCAGTGGGGGCATTGGATCCTCTGGAACTGGGGTTACAATAGTTATGAGCTACCATGTGAGTGCTGGAAATCAATCCAGGGTCCTCTGAACAAACAGCTACTACTCTTAACAACTGAGCCACCTTTCCAGCCCCTATTTTTTTCAATATATGTGAGGTTTTTCCTATATGTATGGCTGTGCGCCACATGCATGCAGTGCCTGTGGAAACCAGAAGGGGAATCAGACCCCCCAGAACTGGAGTTACAGGTAATTAAGTAGGTGCTGGGAATCAAACCCCTATCCTCTGTAAGAGTAGCCAGTGTTCTTAACTGCTGAGCCATCTCTCTTGTGCCTACTATATTATTTATTGTTTGTGTGACTTCATGTGTGTCACACACATGCATATGTACACACAAGTGGAAGTCACAAGACAACCTATAGGAGACTGTTCTCTCCCTCTACCATGTGGGTCCCCAAGATTGAACTCAGGTCATCAGGCAGAAATCAAGCACCTTGACCCTTTAGGCCATCTCACCTGTCCCATTTGGTTTGTTTTCTGAGACAGAGTCTCCACTCTATAGCCCAGGCTAGCTTGGAACTTGCGGTCTTTCTGCCTTAGCTTCTCGAGTTCAGGAAAAACAGGCATGTGCTACTATATCTGTAGTGGGGTTTCTTTCAGAGATGATAAAAATATTCAAAAGCTGACTGTGGTTATGTTTGTGTGTGTCTGAAGATATACTAAAAATTGTTGAGTTGTATACATTAAATGGGTGAATTGTATGGTTTGTGACTTGTATCTCAATGAAGAAGAAGGAAGCATCTCTGCTTCTCCTACTCCTTCTCATCCTGCATACTTCCCCTTGCTCTTGGCCTTTCTCTTTTCCTGAATCCCTCTGCCTCAAGCACAGGGCTTTTGTCATCTACTCTCAAGGCCTTGAATACAGAATCTCCAATAGGACACCAGGGTTCTCTGCCCCCAGGCTCAGTCTGTTCAGTCTGCCCCGTGCTCTCAGCAGATCTGACCACCAAATAAATACATCTCTACTTGGTTGCCTTACTCAGAATACTGTCCCCAAACAGCCCAGTCAGCCTTTGCAGCCCATAGTGAAGGCCACCTTTCACCTGAAGCACTCCCTACTGGGGTAAGATGAAATGCTACATTTGAAGGCCCTGGTTCTCTTTCTGTGCTGCTCCTTTGATGGGTACTGAGGCTGCCCACCAGCCACTCTGCCCTTTGCTGACTGGGACATAAAGAAGTTACTACTCTGTCCTGCCAGCTCAGCTTCCTCATATAATATGGGGATTCTGGAAATACGAACCTCCTGGGAGTGTTGAGAATTACATGAATGAATCCATGACCCTATGAAGATGTCAGTCTATGGTGGCTTTTGTTAGTTTCTCTCTGTCACCCCCCCCCCCAACCTTGATAACCAGCTTTGCCAGTCTCATGGCACCTTCCAAATAAGGCTCCATTAAGTTTAAACATAACTTTGCTGTAGCTGCCTTCCCTAGACCTGTCCCCTTTGAAGCTCCCAGACTGTCAGAACTGGGGCTGAGGCAGCTACTGCCACATGTTGTGGCTCCACTCTCTCAGAGGACTGTCCATTACTTTTGGGTTCCACCTACATTCCACACCCTTGTCCTATAGAGTCTGTAGGGAGCTATCATAAGCTTCAGGCTTCCACCCCTCACCTGGCTATCTTAGCCAACCAGGGTGTGAGTGTTCATAGGTTGCTGTAACAAATGGCCCTATGATGGCTTAAGATAACAAAGTCTTAGACTGATGAGATAAATGAATTGGTAAAGTTCTTGCCTCAAAAGCACAAGGACCTGAGTGTGATCCTCAGAAGCCATGTAAAAAGCTGGGTGTGGTAATCCTTATAATTCCAACCCTGGGAGGGCAGAGCAGAGATGGTTGATCCTTAGGGCTCTCTGACCAGTTAGCCTACCCCACTCGGCAAGTGTAGGTCAGTGAACGAGCCTGTCTCTAACACAAAACAAATAACAACAGGTGGACAGTGACTGAGGAACAATACCCTAGTTTTGACTTTTGATTTACACACACACACCAACATAAATTTATTACTTCACATTTCTAGTGGCCAGAAATCAAAAGTTGAGGTGTGGGCCAGCTATGTTCTCTCTGAGAGTGGGAAGGGAGGATCTTTGCTTGCCTCTCCCTAATTTTGATGCTTAGAAGGCATCACTCCTATTTCTTACCTGTGGTCACATTACCTTCCCCCTGTTTGTGCACATCTGCATCCTCTGTTCTTTAGAATATCACTGGTTAAAGTCCCATCATAATCCAGTATGACTAGCACTATTTCCTCTTGTTCACTCCCCATTCCCACCTCACCCTACCACCCCTCCCCTGCCAGGTGTACCAACATCTTAAACAGCAATGGTGAACTCCGAGGATTCCGTCCTCGGGACCGGGATGACATGGTGAAGAAGATCATTGAGCCTATGGCTTGTGATGGCCTCCGCACCATCTGCATTGCCTACAGGGACTTCTCTGCAATCCAGGAGCCTGACTGGGACAATGAGAATGAGGTGGTGGGTGAGCTTACCTGCATAGCTGTCGTGGGCATCGAGGATCCTGTGCGACCTGAGGTAGCTGCCCCTTTTCTGGGAACTGCTCTAATAAATATTCCCAAGGTTCAAGGTTTTCCTATAGGTGACAGGGTGGCTTTTTCCACCCTGGACTTCCACACTATAGGCTTGGGACACAAACATGCGTGGTGGGAGTCACTTTCTTCTGACTTTGCAAGATGTCACACCTCTTCCCACCCTATTTATAGATAGAGCAGCCTGGAAAACAGAGACTTGGAGTCCTTCAGGCCCATGGGACCTTCCTCAGTGCTTTTGATGCCCTTGCCAAGGCCTCTTGTCCTTGACCTATGGGAGCTCCGTGGGCCTGCCTGGCCTCTGGACAAGGCTCACACTCCGCTTCTCCTGAGTGTCTGTAGGACCAAGTGATTGAAGGCCCAGATGAGGGGAACTGAAGAACTGGAAACAGCTGAATTGGGTGGATATTGGTTTGGGGACATGGTGAGCAATTGTCAATCAAAGGCTTAATTGTGTCTGAATGAGATTAAGGGCACATCCATGGAGATGTCAACTAGGCATGTAACTGTGGGAATGGAGAGCTTAGAGCATACGTTCTGACTGGAAAGACATCCTAGAAACATCTTCCTGTGCATGTGAAGTCACTGAGAGTAGCTTCCAGTGATAGAGGCCAGATGTAGGGGAGGGGATGGTTCTCAAGGGTCATATGGGTGAAGCAAGCATAGAATGAAACAGGTTGTCTGCCTATTGATGGTCTTGACATTGGGAGGTCACTGAAGCCTTTGACCCAAACACATTTTATGTGATGTTTGTATTTCTTGGTCTTTGAAGATGGGGGATTCTTGTGAGTGGATCCTGAAGAAAAGATTGTGAAAGGGCCCTCTATCTTCCCAGCCCTGTCTGCTGGTATCCGCCTCATGTTAGACTACCTCGATTCTGCCCATTAGCCTGAAAGCATGTATCTGTGGGAACTGCTCTGGAGCTTTGGGTAGGACAAGGAAGGAGAAACTTTGCATACAAGGTCACAAAGCAAAGGTTCTAAAACAAATACTCCCCACATCTAAAGAATGGCCACGGGTCACTGTCAACTGCATATCCTTGTATTCGTTGGGAATGGTGTGAGAACTAGAGTCAGCACAAGAGACCTAGGCTGGGCTGGCAGCAAAGTGAGCCCCAGGGCCAGCTATACAATAATATTTTTGCAAGTTTTCACCTCAGGATATATGAAACACAGACAAGTGTTAAGAAAGATATAACCAGGACCTAGCCTCAGTGGATACCACGGGGCAGGGGTGGTCCAGGGTTGAAGCTCAGGACAAGAAGAATGTATCTCAGTTTAGGTGATAACTGAGGGATCCAGGGAACAAGGATAGCTCCTCTGTGACTTAAAATGGCTGAGAAGGAGTGCTGGGTGGCAGTGGTGGCGCACGCCTTTAATCTCAGCACTCGGGAGGCAGAAGCAAGCGGATCTCAATGAGTTTGAGACCAGCCTGGGTCTACAAGAGCTAGTTCCAGGACAGCTAAGACTGTTACACAGAGAAGAATCTCTGTCTCTAATTCCCCACCCCACAAAAAAAGTGGCTAAGAGGGAGTTCAGCAATAATGTTACTGGGAGACCAGACATCAGGTCCTGGCTCTGGGGCAAGCACAAGGGATTTGCGAAATCTCCATGAGTCTTAGCCAAACTCTCTGGGCATTGGAGAACACAGGATGGCCACCAGAGGGGGGAAGAGAGCTGTGTCTAGAGAAGTCCCACAGATGAATACTAGACCCAGGAACTTCTACAGACATCAGCTCCCTGATTATGCTAAAGGGGCCTTGAGGAGAAACCAGGAAACTGGTCAGAGCAGACGAGGAGAGAACAAGGTAGGGTATCTTCTGGGGTAGTGTCCCTGCCACCTGGCTGGGAGGCTGAGAGCTTGGAGACTGAGTATGTGGGTGGGCCTTGGAGTGGTGGCTGCACCTGGACCCTGGGGCAACTCTGTTCAAAGTTCCCAGATTCCAGATTCAACATGGTCACCTGGAAGCAGCAGAGAAGGCGGCTTCCAGCCAGTTTGGGAAATGAAGCTACAGAGCGCCTTACACCCCTACTTGAGAGGAAGTTCTCTGTACTCAAGGTCTTATGGAGCACCTTAAGACCCTAAGAGAACAGAATGTGTTCTTAAGACTGAGCATAAATAAGAAGACACATCACACACACACACACACACACACACACACACACACACACAGAGAGAGAGAGAGAGAGAGACAGAGACAGAGAGACAGAGACAGAGACAGAGAGAGACAGAGACAGAGGCAGAGAGACAGAGGCAGTGAGTAAGCTACCACTCTATCAGAGGTATGTCTGTCCTTCCCTGTCACTTAACAGTTCTGGCTTTGATTATCAGATCACTATCAAAGCCTTCAATAGGGACACTGTTCTTGTTTGCCACAGTCTACTTCTTTCCTGATCCTGACTATCCCCAAACATCTCTGTTCCTCTTGCCCACCCTGCCTCCTCTAGGCTTACTAGTTCAGGCGATTAGGCCAAATCTAGAGATCTCCTACATTCTTTCCCCTCGGGTTCAGCAGACAGCCCACCACTATTCACGGGGTACCCACCAAGGAAGTCAAAGACCTAGACCTCTCCTCATCCAACTCTTCAAACCCTGAGCTGGCCTTTCTCCTCAGTGTTTATGCTATTCCATCCGGCCTGGTCTGCGGCCCCAGGGCCTGAAGGGCCACACATACCATGTGTTTGGAAACTGTCCTTCCCATCTGCCCACTACTGTTACCATGCTACAAGGCCCAGGCTGGTCTCATGGCTTCCCACCCTCTTGTCCTGTTTTGTGCTTTGTGCTTGGGTTCTCTTTCTCCTTCCTTAGTTCTAGAACCTACTATGTTATTTGAAAAAGAAATGCAGGCGTTGTAATCCCAAGTAATGTCCCACTCCCTCTAGTGAGTACTTTATATAAAAGCTACAGCTGAGACAAAGATTAATTCCTGAGGAAAATGGTTGAGTTCTATGCTGAAAAACCAAAACAAACTAGACAAGAGTGGGAGGAGTTCAGCATAGCTGGGTCTAAGTCACTGCTCATCCTGTGAGCAGCCACAGTGAAGGAGATGTCAGGGACAGTGGGCTGGGGGGCTGGGGTGGGTGCCTGCCCACTGCAGGCCATCCTCTGAACTGCTTCAGACCACACTCCACAGACCCTGCCCTTGAATAATAGGCTTTACTATATACTTCCATATTTGTTGGAAGTTGGAATTCTGCAAATCTGTACCAGACACAAAATATGGGCTTGTCTTGCCAGCCCCACCCATTCTTATATCTCCCAGGTTCCTGAAGCCATTCGCAAATGCCAACGTGCTGGCATCACAGTCCGTATGGTGACTGGAGACAACATCAACACTGCCCGGGCTATTGCAGCTAAGTGTGGCATCATCCACCCAGGTGAAGACTTCCTGTGCCTGGAGGGGAAAGAATTCAACAGAAGGATTCGAAACGAGAAAGGCGAGGTAGCTCCCTGCATCTGTCCCGGGCTGCTGCTTCTCCCATCCCTCTCCCATCACTACCAGCCACAGTGCCTGTCTGCAGCCTAGACGCTGAGGCCTCCATTATTTTCTCCAGATAGAACAGGAGCGGCTGGACAAGGTGTGGCCCAAGCTGCGAGTGCTCGCCCGGTCATCTCCCACTGACAAACACACGCTGGTCAAAGGTAACCAAATGTGTTCACCCTCTTCAACATGTGATTGTCTCTGGCATCCCTGAATGTTGTCACCTGCTCTTAGATTCTAAGGTGGAAGATTCTAAAGACTATGACTAGAAAACATGAAACTAATAATGGCTCATAGAAGCAGCCCTTCATTGGAACAAATGGGGAAACCAAGGCTGGGACAGGGAGACAATCATTCAGTTCACACAGTGTGGGACCTTCCCTTCTACCATATCTTGCCAGCCTATGTTACTGAGCAAAGGACCTTGGTGGAAGTAGGGGGATGAAGTTACCCCATTAAAGCCTGAGAACTTGACCCCATAAGTGACAAGGAGCATAGAAGCAGGCCATACCAAACATTGGCAGATACCTTCAACCCTACCCTAACCCATTCTGTGTTCCAGGCATTATTGACAGCACAACTGGTGAGCAGAGGCAGGTGGTGGCTGTGACTGGGGATGGTACCAATGATGGGCCAGCTCTCAAAAAGGCAGATGTGGGCTTCGCCATGGTAAGCCATCTGGTGCCAGACCAGTTCATCACACAGATGAAATCATGTTTCTCCTGGAGTTAACTTTGCATCAGAAAATGGAGAGCCAGTATCAGGACAGGTGACAGACTGCTAGAAGCTTTCTTCACTCACATCTTGACTGCTTGTGGCTGTGTGGGCTCTGACCATTAACAAATATATATGTGATTTGTTTAAAGACATCTGGTGTGAGGACACCAGAGGTTACAGTGGAGCCTAACTGCACCACTGAAGAAAGGGAGAAACGCTGAACGGTGGCTTGACAACAGTGGTACCTGCCCATAATCACCTATTCTTAGTCCACTCAAAGTAGCCCCTGGCCCCAAGAGTGATGAGCAGAGACCACAGGGAGTTCTTCCTCTGGTTTCTCTCTTTCTGTTCATATAGATCTAGCTCTTCTTACTGAGCAGGGTGGCCTTCTAGATACTGCCCACATGGTGAGCCCTGCCCCCAACTCACAGTGGTTAGCAGCCTAGTGTCACCCCCCCCCAGCAGAAAGGAGAACCTTTCACTCAGTCATATTTGGTTCAGCAGTGGGATGGGGAAGTACAGCATTCCTGGATCTCACAACCTGGAGTAGAGAGCAGGCTGAACTGTCCAGGGTGACTGATGTCACAAGACCAGGTCCAAGATGGAGTGGGTGAGGGCTACACAGACTTGATGTCTATTGCTATGCCCAAGCTTATGCGGTGGGGCAGCAAAAATCTGCTATGGAGCCAGGGGATGGGTCCTTTCCACTACCCAGACAGACAGCCCACATTTCTCAGGGTTTCTTCAAGTAGCCAGACAAAGGACTGGTGAGTAGCCACCCAGAGGGAGCTGGACCTTGTGGAAGGCTGTATGGATGTTGTTTAGCAGCAAAGGCCCCCTCACAACCAAATGTGGCAACATGCAGTTCGCAGTGTAGAGTGTGTTAGATTAAAACAAGTGCTGTTCAATTAAGGCCTTATTTGGAAGAGAAAGGCAGGGGACCATCCCAGGTGGGCTGGGTGCCCAAGGAGGACTTGAGAAATAAGCACTATGCTTATATACCATCCCCCAGGGCATCGCAGGCACTGATGTGGCCAAGGAGGCCTCTGACATCATACTGACTGATGACAACTTCACCAGCATTGTCAAGGCCGTCATGTGGGGCCGCAATGTCTACGACAGCATCTCCAAGTTCCTGCAGTTTCAGCTGACAGTCAACGTGGTGGCTGTGATCGTGGCCTTCACAGGTGCCTGCATCACTCAGGTGGGCACCAGGGGCCTACAAGAGGCAGTAATGTGGGCTCAAGAGGGCCATATTAAGAACAAGTGTTTTGCTTGTTGCAGATTCTTTTTATTGAAATCAAAATCATATACGAAAAATCTTATCTCTTCATGGTAGCTGTTTAGTAGATTTTTTAGTATATTCACAGTGTGAATCATCACTTCCTTCTAGTTCCAGAACACATTCATCCATCTCAAAGGAAACCTTTCGCCTACCAGCAGTCATTCCCCACCCCACCCCCAAGCCCCTGACAACTGCCACTTCTTTCTGCCTCTATTTATTTGCCTGTTGTAGATAATTTGTATCAGTGGAATGAAATGGCATGTGGCCTTTGGGGTTTGTTTTGTACATTTTTTTGCCAAGGGGGATGGGCATGTGTATGTGCTGCACTGCACATGTGGAGGCCAGAGGGCAACTTGCATGAATAACTTCTCTCTTTCCACCGTTTGGGTCCCAGATAATTGAACTCAGGTTTGCGCCTCTATTCACTGTGCCAATTTGAAGATTCAACATATGGCCTTTGCACCCCACATCTCAGTTTGCATGTTTGCAAGATTCATCCATCTTGCAGCTTGGCCCAGTGCTTTATTCATTATCATAGCTGCACAGGAGTCCACTCGGCCCCATTATGTTTGTCATTCATCCATGCTTTGGACCACTTCCGCTTCATTGCAGTGTAGTGTTGCTAGGAACGCTCATGTCCAAGTTTCAATATGCATATGTCGTCCGCTCTCTCGGGTTGAGATCTGGGAGTAGAATGACTGAGTTTCAGAGAAATTCTATATTTCCCCTTTCTCAATGCTTTCATCTTCCCCATTGGTTGGAGGCCAGAATTTATTGATTTCTTGTTAGGGATGGTTGACTTTATTGTCAAAAAGTAGTTAACTATTTTGAGTGATTAGCTTGATTCCTTAGTGTGTGTGTGTGTTGGCAAGGTGTACATACACGTGCATTCATGTTTATTTAGAGGTCAGAGGTCAACCTCTGGTGTTCCTTGGAAGTTTTTCACCTTGTTCTTTGAGAGACAAACTTTTTTCAATAAGACCCCAGCCTCACTGATTAGGACAGGCTAGCTAGACAGCAAGCCTTAGAGATCCTCACATCTTCATCTTCCCATCACTGAGATTACAAATTCACACTGCCATGCCAGGCTTTTGTGATACAGATTCTAGAGGTTGAGCTTAGGTTTTCATGCTTGTAAGAGAAACACTTTACTAACTGAGCTAACTCCCCAGCCCCTCAGGGACTTTCTCTTGATATCTAAGTCAAGTATGAATGATATCATAACAACCATCCTAACCATTTGTAAGTACAAAATCCATGCCTCGGCATATGCAGTTTACTCTCAGAATATTCCCATGATTCCCTAGAGGATACCTCACACCCATTAGCAGCCACTCCCCATTGCCTCTCCAGCTTACCTGTTCCTCTGTATGTGAAATTCAGACCACAACTTTGAGATCACTGCCACCAGGCAAGAAGAGAGGGAAGTAGGTGGGAGTTAGGAAGCCAAGTGGAAAACATCTGCAAACCTGAGATTCCCATGACATTGGCAAAACTGAGCTTCTCCTCAGTAGTGGCAGGCTTTCATATCCTAGCATCCCAAGGTTACTCTATGTAGTTCTGCATGGCCAGCATACACAAAGGTGACTGCCCTTCTCTGCAGGACTCTCCTCTCAAAGCTGTGCAGATGTTATGGGTGAACTTGATCATGGATACATTTGCCTCACTTGCCCTGGCGACGGAGCCCCCAACTGAGTCACTGCTGCTGCGGAAGCCATATGGCCGAGACAAGCCCCTCATCTCACGTACCATGATGAAGAACATCCTTGGCCATGCTGTCTACCAGCTCACTATCATCTTTACGTTGCTTTTTGTTGGTAAGTTAAACCGGAGGCACATACTTCATGCGTGAGCCCTGTCTGTGTCCTCAGTCTGGCACAGGATGGGATACAGCACTTATAGACTGAAAAAAGCAGGCCCGCTCTATACCTTTGACCCATACCTCCCTGCTTCAACATGTACCCTACTGTACATCCCTGGGGCAGATGTGGTGGGGGAGAGTGGCCACTGGGGCTGAGAGATCTCCCTTCTCAGCCCCTGCCTCTCTCCTCCCTTCAGGAGAGCTCTTCTTCGACATCGACAGTGGAAGGAACGCACCCCTGCACTCGCCCCCCTCCGAGCACTATACCATCATTTTCAACACCTTTGTCATGATGCAGCTTTTCAATGAGATCAATGCTCGCAAGATCCATGGTGAGAGGAATGTCTTTGATGGTATCTTCAGCAACCCCATCTTCTGCACCATTGTCCTGGGCACCTTTGGAATTCAGGTAGGACATGAAGGTGTAGGGGCACTGACATTGGCCTTCTTGTACCCAAATCTTTTCCACATTCTAGAGCAGATGTTTTGCGTCTTCCAAGCATTGCTGAGCTCAGTTTTTCATCTAACCTACTAGCTTCCAGGGGGCTATGGGTAGCCTTTATCCCCTATCCTTCTCACATGGTTTCCAGAACCCTTCTTCCCTAACTCTCTCTTGGTCAACCATGTTAATTTCTAGCACCTAACTCCTTGGTGTTCTAGAACAATAGAGATTCTTTAGGAAAAGCTTGTTGTGCACATGGTTGATATGTTAAACTTTGGCTCCCACAACACTGTGGTCAGGGTGGCAAGCTCAGCTCCCCAGGAGGGGCTAAATGCTCTAAAGTATAGTGTCTTCAAACAAAACATCATTTATAGTTAAGTCCCACAAATCAGAAAATGGCTGTCATAGAAATGTAGCTCACTGTTCACAGATCCCAAGAAGAGGGGCATGTCATACATTGGTGGCCACCTCTAAATGCCAGTAAGGAACCACTGAGAGGGGAATTTTACTGTGGTTTCCCAGGACCAAATGAATAAGGAGATCAACAGACTTCATCTTGGCTAGCATGAAATCATTTCAGCCCACCATGGGGTATAGACTGGCCCCGCTTGCCTGGAAAATGGCTCTGAGCAAGGTTGGGTAATATGCTATGGATTGCTTGGTTAGCATTTAAGATATTGTCCTGGGTGTAAGACTTCTTCTAAAGTAGACAACAAGGAAGTCAGGAGGCCGAAGCAGGGTGACCCTTAAACTATAGGGCCATGCAGAGCAGGCAAATGTGAAAATAGCCTTGATGAAGCGGGAAAGATGGTGCAGACAGCTGAGTCTCACCTGGAGGCTGGAGGCAGCAGAGGGTAGGTGGGAGTGGGTGACAGCATGTGAAGCTACACAATGACACATCCTGGTACCAAAAGGCAGTACATGCCAGTAAACATTTGTCTATGGCCAAAGTGGTCTGGCTCCCAGGAGACAAAGTCAGTCTGGAGGGCAAGGTTTGTAGAGGGCTAGACAGGACGCAGAGAAGTCAGGAGCCATCCTGGTAATAAACTGCTCCTCCTCCCACCACTCTCCATTCCTTCCCCCAGATTGTCATCGTCCAGTTTGGTGGGAAGCCCTTCAGCTGTTCACCACTGTCCACAGAACAGTGGCTCTGGTGCCTATTTGTTGGTGTTGGGGAGCTGGTCTGGGGACAGGTGAGTGTCTGCCTCGTCAACTTTCTCACCAATACCTTCATTCCGGTGGCTTCTGTTCATGGCCCTCGGAGTGGATAAGACACCAGGCATCCTGTTCCACCTACGCCTCTCACTATCCCTACTCCCTGCCCCACAGTCTTGGAGCCTGTGGCCCGGAACTTGTGTGGTGTGTGCTCAGGCTCAGGCCTATGACATACTATAGCCTGGGGGTAAGGTCACAAGTGACAACCTCAGGAATGAGAACATAGAGCAGATAAGTCACACACTGTCCTAGGAAATCATCTAGTTTCCTTCCCCATAGTATAAGCGAAAAATTGCCCCCTCAACCTGGATATTTGGGGAACTGCAAGTGAATCTGGGTGTAGAGCACTTGTTTAGCTGTCATAAAGTCCTGGGGACCATCCCCAGCAGTGCAAAAAAACAAGATGGAAAGAGAGCCAGCCTGTGGAGCTTGGGATGTCCCAATAGATTTGAAATTAAACAATGCCCTGCTATGACATCTATGGGACAAAGACAGCTTGAGAAAAAGGAAGTGTTTGGGCTTCATGGAAAGTGGCAGGACAGCACCTGTGGACCTGAAAGTCGCAGCTGCCCCAAAGGAGCAGTTGTAGTACCCAGTGATGAAATCAGGAAATAAAATTTTAAGTGTCGGCAGCCAGTACAGTCTTAGGCACCAAGCCAGCTCCCTCCATGGTACACTGAAGCATTTTGTTCAGAGTTCGGGAACACTAGTTTGGGAAGCCACATCAGGATCTGCTTCACTTTGGGCCTTGGTCAGCTCAGGCTGCCGCAGCAGACTACCAGAGACAGGCAGGTTACACGAAGGCATGTATTTTCTCACAGCTCCAGAAGCTTGAAGTCTAAGATCAAGGGCAGCAAATTCAGTATCTGATAGGGGTTCCTTCCTGGCTTCTGGTTAGCTACTTTCTCACTATGGGTTCCTAGAAAGTTCTCTGGTATCTCCTCTTATAATGGCACAAATCTGGTGGGATCAAGGCTTCAACCAAATGACTTTATTTACCCTCTATTATCTGCCTCCTCCAAATACTTCCAAATTGATGGTTAGGGCTTACGACTAGGGGATAAGGAGGTACCACTTAGGTTTATAACACTATGAATTTTGTTTCTTTATCCTCTTGGTATGTCCTCTACCAAGCTGGCCGCAGAGGCCACTTCGACTATGGCAGTTGCTGGCCTCTGACATTAATCATGAGAGACCACTTAGTTTTTCCATCTCATTTTCAAGAAATCTCTTCCTTTCCATCAGTGCACCTCCTTCCTGTTAGGCTTCTGCTGGAGAGCCCAATGGAGTCCCTTCATGCTCTGCAGTCTAGACTCCATATACTCCACTCTGCCCTATCTATGCCAGCCTCTAGTTAACCTTTGAACTCCCTGACGCAATAGCCACTGCAGTTCTTCTGGGGTGTGTGCTGCCTGCCTGTAGCTCAGAGTATTTTTAATTATAAAAATAATGCACATTCAAAGTGACAAAACTTGGAAAAAAGGAATCTCTATAAAGAACCTTAAAGCCACTCCTCTCATGCTGACAGGAACCTAAGAGGGACAGAATGACCTGCCATCCTCCACCCAGACAGTTGAAAGGCACATCCCAGCCTTTCCTTCTTGTCACCTTTTCCTCCCTAAAAGGGTGATGTGGGATTTCCCTCTGTATGTTGTGATTACCATTGATTAATAAAGAAAACTGCTTTGGACCTATAGCAAGGCAGAACTTAATTAGGCATGGAAAGCTAGGCTGAATGCTGGGAGAAAGGAGGTGGGGTCAGAGAAAAGCCACATAGCCCAGCTGGAGCCAGACAGAATTTTACCCAGTAAGCCACAGCCATGTGGCGATACACAGATTAATAGAAATGGGTTAAATTAAGATGTAAGAGTTAGCCAATAAGAGGCTAGAGCTAATGGGCCAAGCAGTGATTTAATTAATACGGTTTCTGTGTGATTATTTCAGGGCTAAGTGGCCGAGAACTAATTAGTGGCCTCCTCCAACAAAAGCCCCTGATCACAAGCCCTTTTCTAAGTACTTCTTTCTCCGGGAAATGCCAGGAATAAGCTTCCATGGAGCTCAGTCTCAGAGAACATGGCAGCCAGCTTTTCTTTCAGTAACCATGAAGGCCAGCAATGTGGAGTGTTATCAGCTAGGAAGCTCACCTGAGTCCCGGTGTGCAGTTTCTCTTTGAGGTCAATCACATGTGTAGAGTGGGTATTATACTGTACTGAGATGGCTGGCCGCAGTATCCACACCCTCTGTGCCCCATAAGAAATGTATACACTAGCAGGTGTCCCAAAGCCCCCAAATGAGCCCATTCTTCTCAGGAAGCATGCCCCAGGCACTTCAAGATCCTTCCCAGAAGTGGTCAGAGGCCAGCACTGTCTTCCTCACATGGTACTCTATACATTGGCCTCTCTGCTCCATGGTCCTGGATGAGACTCAGTAGATTAGGAGTCTTCTACAAGAAAGCAGCAATTTAGGGTCTACTAGGCCCCAAGTGGGCTTTATCTCTGAGAGGTGGGGCCTCTGGTTTATTCCTGGTCATGGAAGAGCCTGCTCTCATGGCCACCTCTGTTTGCTGCCCTTTGACTCTGGCTTTCCCAGGTCATTGCCACCATCCCCACCAGCCAGCTCAAGTGCCTGAAGGAAGCAGGGCATGGGCCTGGGAAGGACGAGATGACTGATGAGGAGCTGGCCGAGGGGGAGGAGGAAATCGACCATGCTGAGCGAGAGCTCCGCAGGGGCCAGATCCTCTGGTTTCGGGGCCTCAACCGGATCCAGACACAGGTAAGCTGCTGTTCCACGTGACTCCTATTTTGCTGCCTTAAAAAGCAGGCAAGAAGCAGAAACTGGGCATACAGAATCCCAAAGCCAGCAGGGAACTCCCTGGATCTGGCCCCCAAGTATGCAGAGGCAGTGGCTAGTTCCCCTTCTACCACACAGAGGTGCCCACCACTGGCTGGCCATTTAGCTCACGTCTCCCTGACAGGTCCCTCAGTGCCCAGGTAGCTTCTCTCCTAGATGGGTACAAACATGTGCTCAGGGCTCTCTCCGAGGCACAAACCAGCACTGTCTGCTTTCCTTGACAGGGCTACTTAGGCAAGTTGCATTTGAGTATGGGAGAAAAGACTCCATTTCAAGGAGTCTTCGACTAGTTCTCTGATCACCAAAGTCTTCTGTAATCACTGTGCAAAAGCCTCTCTAGGAAGTGGACTCTGCCACCAAGCTAGTTCAAATCTCAATAGGCTAGGCTAGTCAAGGCTAAAGCCATCAGCTACAGTTCCCAAAAACATCAGACTGCCAACAAAAGGCAGTAGTTAAGGCTTTTAAAAAAAAATCTCACGTGCCAGGCTACCCTGATCTCTGCCACCAATTCCTTTTTGGCCAGCTTTCTTACTAGAAGGTTCCATACTTGCTGCCTATTTCCATCTTCCCCTCACACTCTGTCATGATTGCACTGCCCACCACTCCCACTATGGCTGACACCACTGTCTGCAAGGCCTTCTTCCACTCCATGCTTTCCAGTTGCCCTCTGGAAGTGTTGCTGGCCCTGCTCATCCTGACAGCTTGCTGTTCCTTCTGAATTTCCATCTCCTCTCTGTCTTTATATTCCTGGTATCTCCACCTCCCACTCCAACCCTGATCTCTCATGCTGAAAAGCCCTGGGAGAACCTGCTAGGGAACTAGCTAAGGCCAAACATTGCACCAGGCCAGTAGGCCTCCTCACACTGCAGCCTCCGGGACTGACCTGGAGGCGATTCCCCATGGCCTAGCTGGTATCCTCTAAATTACCGTGGCACTGTTACTCATTGCCTGTTCCCATCCAAGGCCTTGGCTACCGTCTCTCTGATGCCAGTCTCACTACCTCGGCTGTAGGCACAATCACTTTTCCTCTCTGGGAACTTATTGGCTAAGGCAGAATCAGCTGGGTAGATTCTCCTTGAATCTGTCTGACAACTTACGCACTGGGACAGGACATGATTCCACACCCCTCCCCATGTATTCTTTCAGCTGCCTTGACACACGTGGCCCAGAACAGGCTATCCTCTGGACTCTAAGGTACACACAGCTACTCCAGCACCCCTAGTGATCTAATGGTGTCCATCCTGAGAGTGCCTCCTCTTTTCCCTTCTAGGCTCTGTGGGTATACCTGCCACTGGCAAGGCACCAGGGTCATTCCTTGCCTTCCATCTGTCTTTGTTTATGCCTGCCCCTCTGCCACCACCATGGGGCCTATGGAGCTTATCTCCATTATCCCCAGGATGAAGTTTCAGCTTCTGACTGTAGTCTTCAAGCTCTAGCTTCTTGGCATCACCGCACTCCTCCCCTACATATCCCGATGACTCTGTGCTGCTTTTCCAGATGTGCACCCTGCCCACCCACACTGCTGTGCCTCCCTGCTTGCTGCCGTGTACCCTCAGGGCTCTTTTTCCATGCTATAAAAGCCTACTTAAAGGTTGCCAAGTCTATGCTTTCTTCTCACATACTACCCCCCTACCTCTATGGGCCATCTGTGTGACTGAGGCCAGCACACTGAATCTGAGAATACCAGAATTCTGTGGGGGAACTACTTAGAGAACAGGATCCTTTAAGACTGGGCGAAGTGGTACCAAAGAAGTCCAAGTTGAAGGCATTCCTCAAGGACCAAGCATCCCAAGAACCTACTCCAGTGTGTCCAGGTTCATATCTGAGCCATGTTACCCTAGCTATGATTCAGATGGATCCTGGTAAAATGGGAACCACCATTAGATCCCTAGCCCAAGCCTCCTCTCCCCACGGGGTGAGACAGTGCTTTCAATACAGTGCCCAGGACAAGCATGGCTGCAACCTAAGTAGCTTTGACTTGTTTCCTGTAATAAATGTTTACTCACTAGCATGAATGTATAGCAAATGTCAGAAAACAGCCCTCATATCTTCCCAATGTGCATGTGGCCACCTAACTGTGCCTTCCAGGAGACTGTGACTGTGACCACCCCCAGTAACCCATCCTTTTCTGATTCAGGGCAGATCTTATCTGCCATGCTCCAGTTCTGATGCAAAGCACAGAAATAGAGTACAGCAGTGACCCAACTCCACATCAGCCTCTTTTATTTCTGTTATGTAATTCCAGATAGAGTTAGCATCTCTATCTGCTTAAGCAGCCCTACCCCAACCTAGAGTGTCAATGGTAGCCTGGCCACCAATCTATGTAGTATCTTTGTGTGTCTGTAAACTTCTGGGCCTGCCACTGCTGCCCATCCACTTGGAGTCTTGGTGTTCCATGTCATTCTAACTGTTCCATGCCCATGTAGATGCAAGCAAGCAAGGAGATGGGACCCCAGGGAAAGAGAGAGTGGTACAAAATCAGCCAATGAGCGCCAAGGCTGGTACCAGTTCCTCAAGCACACTTCTTGGCCCTCAGTAAAGCCACACTGATTCCCCCATGGGATCTCAACTTCCATGGCTTTTCCAAGTGGGGCTTTATCATTTCAGATTCGTCATGACTCTCAAGAATACTGAACCGGTCACTTTAGCTCAACTTGTTCTATTTGATTCGGAAAACCCGCTTTTAAAAAAAATTAACTAAAGCCTCTGGAAGGCTTTTCAGGTTGTATGTGTTTCCTAGGCAACTGGCCCCAGATTTCTGGATCTTGTGAACCACAAAATTGCTCCCCGGATTTCGGAGGCCTGCACACCATTTTCTGTTGCAAAGTAACTTGATGCCCGCTCTCATGCGTGTTCTATACTAATGTATCCATGCACCAGATGCTAGGGTGCTGCTCCACAATAAAAGAGAGTGCCTCAAACCTGGATCATGTAGCTTTTTGGATGTTCATGACGTGGTCTGTCTTTTTTGCATTCCATTACAAATTGATGAGATTCTTTACCAATGGCTGAGCCCTTGTTCCTGGCCAGCTCTGGGGCCTCTGGTAGGGGGAGGGTGGTGACGGTGATGCTTTCATAGATATGGTTATCCTGCGGGGACATCACAGAAGATATCATGGAGACTGATGCCAAACTGAGGCAGCAAAGGCAGCTTTCCCATCCCTTGTCTTTTCCATCGCCTAGAAACCATGCAGTCCAAAGAAGCAACGCCACAGCCCAGAGTCTGCAACACCACCACATCCACACATCTTCCTTACATGAAATACCCAACCACGTGTACAACATATTCCTCACAGATGCACTCACGGCCTCAAAGCCTGCCTTCTCTAGAGGAAAGGAGTGAGGAAGTGGGTCATACTGGGTGAAAAGCAGCCCTGGGCAGGTTAAATGGAAGGATGGCAAGTCTTTCCTCAGGGGGGCTCAGGTTGAAAGACATTTTGTTTGGAGGAAGGAGTCAACAGTGAAACTGCTTCTTTTGGAGAAGCCCTGTCAGAAAGTCAGAGGAGACTGGAGGCCAGGGAGTTCCCACTGCAGGGCTTGGGATGCCAGACCGTAACAGGTCTTTGGAGTCCAGAAATGCATGTTGGCTTGTCTGCTCGTTTTATTCAATGAACTGCATGATACTTTCCAGAAGTTAGATCCACCATCAAAGCTTCTCTCCACACTGAGGCCGTTCTCCAGGAGAAGGCTGCCAGTGTACCTTGCCTCTGGCCTCCCTGAGTCTAGGCATGTGGTCTCCCAGTGTCACAACTGGATATGGTGGCTCAGCTACAGTTCCTTCAGACCCTACTTCCTATATTTGTCACAGCGTCGTAGTCAAAGACAGAGTCAGAAAATCCAAAGACAATGAGTCAGGAGGCTTCTAGCAGGATTTATTTACAGCGCTCTCCTATGGGTCTCATCTTCCCCTTCGTCTTCTAGAAAGCGCAAAGGGTTGTCCCCCAGTCCTCCAAGCCTCCATGCATGGGGGCTGTAGGAAAATTTCTGACAAAACAAAGCCTCTGATCTTGGAAGCCCCTCTTCTACCTAAGTCTATATTCTGCTGAAATCCGAGTGATTATCAACTCCCCGCCACAGTGGAGCAGGACAGAACAAGAGACCCTCTGCTAAGAGGACCATGAACAAGGGCAGTGATTTCCCAGGGATCCAGGCAAGAGCCTCCAGCCCACAAACTGCTGGAGAATGCTTCTACCTTCTAATAAGAGCATGTCATATCCCTCAGGTGTGTTGGGGCGGAAAAAAGTGTTGAGAACTACCGAAGTAGGATAAGGAAGTGTTGCCAGACACAGGTACTTATTGACGAGTGGCTCTCGATGAGCGAGCGTATCGTGAACGCAAGTGACTACCTACAAAATGTTTGCAGTGTGCTTCCACCGGTGACCTTTCCTTCCCACACTCCTGACCACTAACCATTTGCCCAGCAAAACCCTCTCTCAGTCATGGCTTTGTCAAAAGCATTGTCAGCTTCCAGGAATGGGGCTGACCTAGCTGAGGCTTTGCTGGCCCCATATGTCCCCCGTGTGGCCCCTGCCCTCACCCAGCCCCACCCTGTGTGGTAGCCTGGACCTCCATGCAAGCCAACTTTTATCTCATTTTCTCTCCCACAGATGGAGGTAGTGAGTACCTTCAAGAGAAGCGGGTCATTTCAGGGTGCTGTGCGCCGGCGGTCTTCAGTCCTCAGCCAGCTCCATGACGTAACCAATCTTTCTACCCCTACTCACGTAACTCTCTCTGCCGCCAAGCCCACCAGCGCTGCTGGCAGTGAGTCTTGACTTCCCTTTTCTCTCATAAATGGCACCTGGGGGAAGATAAAGCGTCCCTGACTCTTCCTTCTCTTTTCCAGTCTTGCATTTCTGCTCACCGTGGCTTTTCTGTTCCTTCTTTACTGCCCTGTCCAGTCCTTCCCGCCAGACGGTATCTCT